TGGCTGAAGATATTTGAAAGTCAAAGTTGAATGGATATATGCTTTTAATTCATTTGGGCTGGGCTTTTTTTTTTTTTGGTCAGAGGTTTATTATTATTATGTTTATTATTATGTTATTACTGTTTCAGTCAATTCATTTGTTATGTTCAGGTCCTTGACCTCTCTTGGTATAACTTTGGTGTTTCTATGTACCTAGAATTCACGTTTCTTTTATATTTTCCAACTTGATGGAGTGCTGGTTTTCTGAGTATTCCCTTATAATATTCCGAATGTAAATGTCTTGCCATTCATTCCCATTAATTTGGAGCCTCTCTCTTTCTTTTGGTTAGTTGGGCCAAGAATATGTCAATCTTGCTTATTGTTTCAAAGAACCAGCTCTTTAGACTTATTGATCCTTTATATTAATTTTTTATTTCATTAATTTCTACTTTGGTTTTTATTTCTTGCTGTCTACTGGATTTGGGCTTGTCTTCTGTCTTCCTAAATTCTTGAGTTGTATCATGTCATTTATTTATGCTCCTTCTGGTTTTATTTTGAATATAGGCATATTCAATATGGAGCTATAAGGGGTACTTGAAGAACTTTTTAAAAAGTGCCTCAAAGGTTATTATTGTGTTTTCATTTTCATTTAGTTCCATAAACTTTTAAAAATTTATTTTGACTTCTGTTTTGGCCGGTTCATTGTCCACTAATGAGTAGTTTAATCTCCATGAGTTTAACACTTAATAGAAATTTGTTTGCGATCATTTTTAAGTTTTATTGCATCATGGCTGAAAAGGGCAGTTGGAATTATTTTTTTTCTGAATTTAAGATTGTTTTTTGCAACCTAGGATGTGGTCTATTTTAGAGATGCTTCCATTAGCTGCTGAATAGAATGTATGTTCTTTGGTGTTTGAATGGAATATTCTGCTATTAAGTCCATTTGATGTAAAATGTCTAAGGTTTCCCCTATTTTTTTTCCAGATGAGCTATCTACATGGATAATATGAGTTATCTATTGATCTATAAAGTGCATTATTGAAATTACCTACGAGTACTGGGCTGGTGTTAACCTACCTTTAATTTCAGCACTATGCTTTCTTGTGAAATCGGGTGCCCCAGAGTTGCTCCAGGTGTGTTTAGTATTGCAATATTATCTTGGCTAATTGTTGCCTTGATCGGGAATGAAGTGCCCTCCTTTTCCTCCTGTGTAGCTTTAGTTTGAAGTTGAATTTTGTCAGGTATGTGGATGGCAACGGCTGCTTCCTTTGATCCCATTTGCTTGGAGCACTCTCTCCATCCTTTCAATTTAAAGGGGTGCCTACAGCCAAGTCTCCTGTCGATAACAGGAAGATATTGTTTTAGTCCACTCACCTAGCCTATGTCTTTTGATTGGCGAATTTAATCCATACATTTTTAAAGTTATTATTCAAGGGTGTGTATACTGAAGTAATTTTCTTGACGTTTTTGCTGTTTTAGTTATGCTTTGTATTTCATTAATTACAGCTTAATTTTCTTAAGAGTCTCTTGGACATGCGTATTCCTCTCTTCAGTCTAAAGTACTGCTTCCAATATTCTATAGGATCATTTTGGTAGACACGCCGTTTTTAGACTGTTTATATCAGGAGAACCTTTTTCTCCTACCGTTGCTGTTAAATAGTTTTCCTAGATACAGTGGTTAAGGCTGCCATCATGTCTTTTAGAACTTTAGAAAGCATTCTTTCAAGTTCCTTTGGCTTACAAAGTTTCCACTGAGAAATCCACAAAGAATACTTTGGTGAATTTGCCTTTATATGTGACGTTTTTTTCTCTTGCAGCTTTCAACACTCCTTCTGTATGCATAATGAGAGTTTTAAGTGTGGTAGCTCATAAGTAGCTTCTTTTCTGGTCTTGTCTCTTTGGTGTTCTGTATGCTTCTTGTATCTATAAGGGTTGTCTTTCCTTAGTTTGAGGAAGTCTATTTTTATATTAAGCTCTGGTCTATGCCATTGACTGGGGATTCTTCTTTCTCATCTATGCCTTTAATTAGAAGATGCGGTCTTATCTTGGCATCCCATAGTTCCTCCATGTTCTTTTCCTGTGTTTAATTTTTTCATATTCTTTGCTTGTGTGGTCCAATTCCTTCATCTTCAATATTCTATCTTCCACTTAAACCATTCCGTGTGTATGACCTTCCTCCGCGTTTTTTTCTAACTGGGATACTACATTTTCCAATTCTATCTTCATTTCAGTTTGACTCTCTCCAATATTTGTCTTTTTATCAAATTTGTTTTTCAAATTCTCGATTGCCTTTGTCATTTCATTCAGCCTTATTTTTGTGGGGTTTGTTTGTGGGGGGGAGCATCATGCAACACATTTTTTCTCTGTATGTTCTAAGTTCGCTGAGCTGTTTTGTCTTAAGCTCCTTGAATTCTTTGATGAAGTCTGTGACTGTTCTTTTAAGATCTGTGCCCTGCGCCTCAGTAAGGTGATTCTTACTAGAGAACATTTCTAAGTGACTGCTTTTTAGAGGAGACAGTTTTGTTCTTTTGTATTGTTTTTCGATGAGGTTTGTGCATGTGGATATTTTTCTTGTTGGTTGTATGTTTGATGCGGACCCTGCAGATGGGGAAGCACACTGGCTGTGTGTTCTGTCCCAGGTCTGGAGGTTGGAAGGGTTTTTGGGAAGAGCCCCTCTGTCTGAGCTGGAGCACTGGATGTGGGACTGGGCTCTATCCAAATTGAGGTGAATGCAGGCAGTTTGTGGAGCCGCTAAGCTAGACTAGAGCCCAGAGTGTGCTGGCCAGGCTAGACCTGGAAGGTAGCTTTAGGATGAGGAGATAGGATAAGGTCTAGAAGATAGAGGTTGCTGAGCAGGTGCATCCTGGTCCAAACCTGGAGCTTGGGAGAGTGCAGATGGGATTCCTCAGAATGGGCCACAGCACTGGGTATGGGCCCAGAGGAGTGGTGTTGAATGCAGGAGGCATAGAGATGAGAGAGCAGGCTTACCAGGCAAGGTCAGAGTGCAAGGTGCTCTGCCGTGGCTGGAAATGGAAGACAGGTAGAGGATGGGGCCACCGGATAAACCTACGTCTGCCTCTTTGTTTATGACAGGGTGCTCTAGTCATTTCCATGTTAATTGTCCAGTGACGATATCACTTCTCAGTCCAAAATAGATTCTGTGGTAAGTAATTGCATGCTCTGTGTTAAAGATCTGTAGCGAAGGTAGACCCAGTGTCAATGAGCTGAACAGAGCAAACAAGACACTCAACACATTCTATACCCCCTTTGAAAAACCTCCCTAAAACCAGAACATGAAGCGTGACATACGAAACAAATTTAAAAGCAGAAGCCTGGAATTCCTTTGTTCCCCTTTTCTTTTTTTTTTATATATCTTATTTTTAAAAATTATTTTTATTGAACTACATATATTCCCCCCTTTTTTATCCTTACTTAGTGGTGGGGACTGTGAGTATATAAAGAGAAAAACCATATATTTAAAGAAAAATGTAAAGCAGTAATTTCCAAAGGGTTAATTTTCCTAGGCTTTGAGTACAAAGTATTAAAAGTGAGTTGACATGGACCAGAGGTCTCAAAAATAACAACTTTCATTTTATGACATTTTGGTGTTCTTTTCGAAATCTATTCAGGTACTGTGGACAGGAATTGGTGGCTTCATCTGTGCTCCCCAGTGGCTGCATGTCCTTAATGTGGCCACCTATATAAGTCAATTCATTCAGTGACAACACCCACGTAAGACGCAAAGGCATGCCACAGAGTGTGGCCTGCTCACTGTTTAAACACCGACAGGAGGAGCATGGAGGGACTCTGGTATAAGAAACCTTTGTTTTAAAATAACTTCATAGATGTATTTCATTCAGAAAGAAAAAGTAAAAACCCAGGTGGCTCCTGAACGTCTGTGTTATCCAGGGCACACACAGATGTGAAGACCATTATCCTCTTCTCACCCTTAAGTTGTAAAAATCTGGCCAGGGGACAAAGTCAGACCTGAACAGCAGCCTCAGATGGGTGAGCTCACAGGGAAGGCGACAGGAGCACACTTCGCTTTATTCTTCCTAAGAGTAAGGATCAGAGATCAGCAAACACTTCCTGCCAAAGACCTGTGGGTTCCATCTGTCCTAACTATCCAGTGTCACCATGGTTAGCAAGACCCAACCATACAGCATAAACAAACAAAGGAGCCACGTCCTGGTGAACTTTCTTTGTAGACAATGTTTTGTTTTGGTTTTGGTAGCAGCAGTGGTTGCCACAGCTTGCACAGCAGTGGGTGTGTGGCCACGGGCGATGAAGAAATGGCAGACACACAGAAAAGCTGGGAAGAGGCAGGAAACTTACAGTGCACACTGCTAACATCCATACTCCAACCAGGGGAAGGCTTTGCTGTTTCCCTGAGCCTGGAGCCCTGGGATCATAGAGAGTAATGTTCATGACATGAACGCTTGCTCATTCCTGCAGGGGGACATCTGCTGCCAAAGGGGGCACCATCAAATCAGACGCTGAATAAAAGGACCCAGATTTCAAATGGTTATTTTGAAGGATTGACTTTAAAACTGCCTAATTACATCCTGTGGGACACCCCCACCCATGGGGGCAGCAGAGGGAGGGTGGGAAGAAGAGACAACAGAAAACACAAAGGAGGGTGACTTGGAAGTGGTTTGGTGGTTTGAGGGTGACTTGGGAGGGGTTTGGTGGTTTGATGATATGACTAAGGAGTAGAGGGTCGTAGGGAGACTATGCTCAAAGTACATTATATATGTGTGAAATTGTGAAAGAATAAAAAACAAAAAAATGTGGGTGGAATTCAGTCCAAGAACGATCACTTGTCAGTGTAAAATTTTACTTCATTTACTTTGATTTTCAAAATGTCTGGCGAGTGTCCTGTCGTTCCCACTGAGTGACTTCTCCAGCTTTGGCTCCTGGGGTTGGGTGCTGAGAACCCCGCTTTTCTCACAAGGAACTAAGGACTTCCAGGTCACCACACCATGCAGAACCTTGCGGTGACAACTCCCTTCTCTCGGCAGGTGAACACAAGACCCGAGGAGTGCTGAAAGGGGCCAGTGGTTGTCAGAGCGGCCCGAGAGGAAGCCTGGTCACCGCTGCCGTCAACAACCCTGTGCTGTTTCCCAAAGATGCTGTGGACGTCGTCTTAATTAACACCACTCGCCTTCAGTCCGCCAAAGCTTTTCATCATGGGCTGCATGAAGTCCAAGGAAGCGTTCCCCTTTCCAACCACATTAGACATCCACAAGCTACATGAGAGCGAAATAGCTTTCATGCCCGATGACAGCTGTCAGACCAGGACCCCTTCTCCAGTTAGACCCCAAGTCCAAGAGGAAGTGAAGACACTCCCGGAGCCCAGTCCCGTGGTCCTCGAGTTCGCAGAGCATCTGGCCAATGAGATCGTGCAGGATGCGTTGCAGCAGTGGGCGTGCGAGAACATCAAGTACTACAACATCCCCTACATCGAGAGCGAGGGCTCGGACACGGCCATTGCCACCGGCTGACGGCGTTCCGCTAGGCTCTGGCTGCGGTTGGTGCTAGTTTAAATACACGAGACAAGTTTCAAAACCCCACCTGGATGTGTCTATGATATTAGGGTAGCGACGCTTACGATGACATACAGTTTTAGGCAGTTCTATGTTAACATCGATGTATAGCTGCTCCATCTTGAATTTGGGTCACAGGAAGGAGGGGCAGAGGCCTTGTGGCACCCAGCAACCAGCTGAGCTGTCTGCCCAAGCATGTTCTCCCTGAGGCAGTGATGGCATATCACCAAAGAAAACACTGAATAAAAAGTGCCCAAGTTTCAAATGGTTATTTTAAGGGATTGACTTTAAAATGACTATTTCTGTTAATATATACCAAAAAAATTTAAAAAAAAAAAAAAAAGCCCAGACCAGGAAAAGGGGTTTCCTTAAAATGGCTTGAAAAGAACTGAACTCCAGCCAAAGTGGCCCACAGCCTGTCTGCAGGCCAGGGACTGCCCACTTCCTGACACCGTAACTTAAAATCAGAGAGCCAGCAGGAAACGGGGCTGCCTCGGATGCTCTTACTAGGAAGTTCATTTATAGGTGAGAAGGATAACTGCCGCCCTGGGCCTCAGGGCCATCCCACTGCTTTGCCTGGATGATTTAAACATTGCCCATTACAGCCATCTTTAAAGGATAATTTATAGGAGCCATGACATTAGTTTACGGGATTGAATTAAGAAGCCCTTTGACACCTTTAATCCAATATGTCTTAATGACAGAAGCCCAGTCTGCAAGGTGACAAGCCAAGCCCAGTGTCATGGCTAAGCGTGGGTAAAGCCTCCTGCAGTGCTGGGGTGGGTGCAGAGCCAGCATACAGGAGGTTGTAATTCTCCTCCACTAGACAGCAGAACAGAACACTCCTCCCCAAGGGAGCACCTATGTGGGATTTAGCAGTCACAGGGTGCTCTTAGCCACAGATTATAGAAATGTTATAAATTAAGCATTTATAGTATATACATTAGTATATACTGTTTTATTTATTTAAAGAACTATATAAAGCTCAACAGTAACAGAAGACATTGGGCAAAGCCAGTGGAAGAACGGAGCCGACTGTCCAGGATTGTCACCAAGCTGTGCTAGACACCAGGTCTAACTAGAGAGAGAAACAGCCCACCCACACCAGCCCTTCAGCTATATGGTTTATCAGCGTCCTTGAAACCCAAAACCACTGGAGAAAGGCTTTTGGTATCGCTAATGAGATAAATAGGTACTTGGCTTTGCCAATAACAAGAAACGTTGCCTCTAGTTTTCATAATGTGCTGAAATCCAAGCCAAATAGAGTGAATTCTCCAAGTTTTAGGAGCAGAGAGGCTGTTAAAATGAGCTCTTTTTCAGTTTGCTTTCAGATACCTGGCCACTCCGCTAATTTTACTAAGCCATGGGAAGCATAGTACCCCGCTACACCTGCAATCCAGTAGCTCACAGAACTACAGCAACCCCTCCTGTGCCTGGCTCTGCACAGACGTCCCTCCCAGAAGTACAGGCTCCAGTTTGCAGAGCAGCACAGCTTCCAGCATCTGTGCTGATGACTCGGGTCACCCGGTTCTCACTCATCTGGTTTCTCCTATGAGGTCACCTGGTGCAAGGTTTCTTGTTATTCAAAATATACAATTAAGTATATAAAGTATGTATGCTGGTCATAACAAGAAGACATGTACACAGAGATAACAGCAAGTGGGTTGGGGTTACACGTGAGTATTTCAACTTCTCGTTTCTTCCTTGTTGACCCCCACCCCCCAGGGTGGAGCAAAGGTGTCTGCCAGGTCTGCATCTAGCTAGAGGTCTGCTCCCAGCTGCCACCCCCTTTCAGCAAGTATGAACGGTTTGAGCGTGAAGTAAGCACTGTGCCCTCACCTAGTCAGGCTTTAACGATATAGAATATATGAGAATTGCACATCCGCCCATGAACAAGGAACCACAAGGCTTACCTAGTAGGTGGATAAACCATGTGTGACGAAGGAGTTGAGCAAACTTTATACCACACTGGATAGTTGTCAGGACAGCGTTTGCACTTAGCGAGACACCGTTGATAAGAAATCAGCCTCCTTTCATGCCTTCACATTAAACATCTGATCCTCATTTGAAATCTTTCATTAAGGAGAGATGAGCGAGAAGGGAGGCCCATAAGCAGACGGCGGACTCCTTCGGTACTGGACTCATAGCACGGTGCTCATAGCATCCGTGTACGGGCGGAGGGATGCTATCAGCACACGGTCTCCCAGAGGCAACCGTGGAGGGAGATCAGTGGAGGAAATCAACGTGCCAATCCTTATGTACCAAGACTCTAAATGCCACAATGCGCTTTGCTGTAGTCTCTGGTACCGTCACCTTTTGGTCACGGGCCTTCGATCTAGAACTCTCCCATCTTAGCTGCCTTATCAGTTCTTTGCAAACTACCTACACCTGTTATCACTTAAAGCACAATTTTCAAGGGGACACACAGGATTGTCTTAAGCCCAAAGGACTTTGTATCAAATGTCCCCTAGGCATTAAAATAAATGCACAGAAACGGGAAGCTATGCACGTCCTGCTCTGTCCCCACTGGCCCTGTGGGAGGGGACAGAGTACACGTCTACACTTTATTACTTTAGAAATCAGAAGCTATAAATGGACACATGATGTCAAGAAACAGTAATGTGTATGTCGGTCTATACACATGTAGTATCTGTGTGAAATGACGCAGCCAGCCATGGGTTTCCCCACGGAGCCGGAAGCCCTAGCTCTAAAGAATTCGCTGTCACTTTATCTACGAAACTCATTTTGTTAGCAAAGTCCCATCTGTAGGAGTTAACTCGGAAGTGCTATATTTTCCCAAAAAAAATTTGTGAAAATGTTTTTTTTTTTTTGCAAGTATAATAAAAGTCCAATTAAATGAGCTATCAGTACTTACTTGATTGAAGCAAACACTTGTGGTGTGGTCCACCGATGTCTCACATAAAGACTTCTAGGATGTCTTGCTAACATGGACACAGACAAGCCATTGGGTTAAGGTCTCATTTTGGAGCTTTAAGAATATAGCTGTAACACGTGGTCAATATCGTGGTATTATTTCTGAACTGTCTGGAGAAAAAGGCCGTCATAAAAATTAAGAGCTGAGGAAAAGTAGCCTCCACCTGTGTGGGGAGGTGCAGGCATGAGCCCAATGTTCCTTTCAGTTCTGTGTGGGGAGGTGCAGGCATGAGCCTAATGTTCCTTTCAGTTCTGTGTGGGGGAGGTGCAGGAATGAGCCCAGTGTTCCTTTCAGTTCTGTTGCTTTTGCAATTCTCTTACCTCAATTCTCTTAGTTTTTCCAGGAGCCTGGGATGAAGGAGAAATTATACCAAGTTACAAAACAAATGATTAGCTGGCTCTAATATAAAATTATCCTGACATAAATCTGCCAGGGGCTGGGGAGATGGCTCAGTAATTCAGAGCACTGACTGCTCTTCCAGAAGGCCCAGGTTTAATTCCAGTGCCCACATGGTTACCCATAATCATCCAGGGACCTAAGGCCCTCTTATGGCTCTGCAGGCAAAATATGCACACACATGAAATATTTGAAAACTGTCAACCTCCAGTTACTAAAGACATTTCTATTTTAAATTGCTTTTGACTTTTCCTACAAAAGTTTGATATAACTTATAAAAAGTAAGGGTGTGTCTGTCTTAGAGACTGGAGTTCCATTTTTTTCAGGGTAGCAAATACTGCAAATAATAGGCATAACTTGCATTTCTGCCGGGAAGGTATGTTCCCATGACCCGGAAAAGCTGAGGCCGAGACAGCAGTCTGGAGACGAAGCTTCTTTTCCAGTGAGACTCTTCCTCTTCCTGTTTACAGAGTAACTCTTCTTTTCCAGTGAGACTCTTCCTCTTCCTGTTTACAGAGTAACTCTTCTGTTAAGTGTTGTTCCAAATTCATTCACGTTTTCTTACATGAACATTTGTAAGGCATTAATTAACATACCCCCTCCAAATTTCAGGGTCTTTACTTTTGATAATCTATACACAATTTGATTAACACATAAACTACCACTGGAAGCCAATGTTACCATTTTAATGAGAGAATGTAACTGAAGACTCTCTGGAGTACTTGAGAGTTTCCCATCTTTTAAACCAGGGCCCAGCAACTCACTTCTGATGAAGATCGCAGGAGACACTTGAGACATTGCGGGCCATACAGTATATGTCATGGCGTCTTAGGGTTTCTATTGTTGTGAAGAGACACCATGAGCATGGCAACTCTTAAAGGGAAAACATTTAATTGGGGCTGGCTTACAGTTCAGAGGTTTAGTCCATCATCATCACGGGGGACAAGGCAGCTATGGTGCTGGAGAAGGAGCTGAGAGTTCTACATCTTCATCCACAGGCAGCAGATGCGAATGAGCACAGGAGACCTCAGAGCCCACCCCCACAGTGACACGCTTCCTCCAACAAGGCCACACATCCTAACAGTGCCACTCCCTATGGGGGCCGTTTTCTTTCAAACCACCACACATGGCCACTTCCAGTAGCCTAGATACAAGGATGGTTTTGCTGCAGTAAAGTTCTAGAAACATTGGCCTTTGACATCAGCTAACTGTTGTATCATGAATCACTATAAACACCGGTGCTTCGACTTCAGGTGACCATCATATCATAGAACATTAGTCTTTTCATTTCTTTTCCAACAATTTAAAAGTGAGGAAGCCATTTCCAGTTTGCAGGCTGGAAACGGGCAAGCTGAGAGACCGAGCTAGCCTCTGTGATATGTTTACTGACCCTTGCTCCAAAAATAAACTTTAGGAGGTCTGGCCACCTCAGAATTTCAGATCACTGCTACCCAGAGATTTAAAATAGCCATTCACGTCTTCATCGGTAATTTCCTTTAGACTGGCCGGGTTCCATTTGGGACTCTGGTCTTTGTCAATGAGAACTGTGAAAAGAAGGTGGAGACATTAGCACAGCCTGTTGTGCTGCCATCAGATGGAACCACTGAACTGATACCTCTGCCTTACTAGGCATTCTCTTCTACAGCACATTTTTCTGCAACGTTTATGCTTTCAGTAAAACCCAGTGAACTAATCTGGCAGTTTAAATATTCCTCTTCCAGCCTCAGACAGAACTATAAATGAAATCTCTGTATTGCAGACAGCTAAATCACATATTGGTGCAAGGGGGAGGGGAGGCAATGGAGGGCAGAGGGCCCAGGCTTCTAACCAGGCTTTGAGAGGAAAATTAATTACTTGAGGTAAAGAAAGGAGACTGTATACATAATTAAATGTAGATGTTATCATCTTACCAAATCCTCTAGTATTAAAAAAAAAAATAAGACCACCATCAGGTAATCACAAAATCTTCTATTCCTATTTCATTACAGATACCACTCTGGGTAGCCACATTATATCCCCATGGGATTCTAAGTGTAAACACTTAAGAAAATAAAGAGAATCCTGTTTTCTGGGGTTAGTGGACTCAGGATGTGTGGATGTGTGGAGGGAGGGGATTCAGAAGCTCAACCTATAATTGCAAACAGCTTTAAAAAAGCGTGATACGGTAGCAAATCTGAGACATGCTTAACATACATAACTTTAATAAAGAGTGGAAGTGTGTGTGTATTTGAGAGAGAGAGCATGCGTGTGTGTCTGTGTGTGTTTCCATGTCTGCTTTGTTGTTGCTTGCTTGTGACAGCACAGGACTTGAACCTTAGACCTCTTGCACCCTGGGTGAGCATTCTGTCATTATTCTCTACTCCCAGTCTTAATATACAGGCTCTGGATACTCAAAAAAAAAAAACACCAAATTAAGTACAGTTGGAGGAGCAGTCTGGGAACCAAGGAAGGACGCCTTGTTGTATAGGTACAGCTTTCGGCACAATCAAATGCAGATGCTGGAGAGGTACGTGTGTTTAGTTTGTTCTGAGATGAAGTCTCAGGTACCTGGGAGCTGTCGGTATGCAGCCATCTTTATACTGGACTGAAAGCTTCTATTTCCTAGCCAGTGTCAACAGAGGACTGGTCCTAGGGTCTGCTTCCCACAAGACTTTTCCCCTTCAGTTATGGCTGACACCAGCTACCTCCTTGGGGTTCTACTGAAGGGCATAGGAGTGAGCCCTGAGCACATCTGTGCAAGACAGAAAATGCTGCCCGTGCAGGAAGCTCGGCCTGCAGGAGGGAGAGCTTCTGACCCTCAGCTCTGCTGGCAGGGTTCACTTTCATCTTCTGTAACCAGAAAGGAGCTCATCCTAGATGTCAACATTGAATGTGCTGACACAGCGTTATAGTTGTAAATCACAGCAAGAATACTAGACAGTCTTGCCCCAGCAGATGCTCCTGTCTGAGTAGAATACTAGACAGTCTTCCCCCAGCAGATGCTCCTGTCTGAGTAGAATACTAGACAGTCTTGCCCCAGCAGATGCTCCTGTCTGAGTAGAATACTAGACAGTCTTGCCCCAGCAGATGCTCCTGTCTGAGTAGAATACTAGACAGTCTTGCCCCAGCAGATGCTCCTGTCTGAGTAGAATACTAGACAGTCTTCCCCCAGCAGATGCTCCTGTCTGAGTAGAATACTAGACAGTCTTCCCCCAGCAGATGCTCCTGTCTGAGTAGAATACTAGACAGTCTTGCCCCAGCAGATGCTCCTGTCTGAGTAGAATACTAGACAGTCTTCCCCCAGCAGATGCTCCTGTCTGAGTAGAATACTAGACAGTCTTGCCCCAGCAGATGCTCCTGTCTGAGTAGAATACTAGACAGTCTTGCCCCAGCAGATGCTCCTGTCTGAGTAGAATACTAGACAGTCTTGCCCCAGCAGATGCTCCTGTCTGAGTAGAATACTAGACAGTCTTGCCCCAGCAGATGCTCCTGTCTGAGTAGAATACTGGACAGTCTTGCCCCAGCAGATGCTCCTGTCTGAGTAGAATACTGGACAGTCTTCCCCCAGCAGATGCTCCTGTCTGAGTAGAATACTAGACAGTCTTGCCCCAGCAGATGCTCCTGTCTGAGTAGAATACTGGACAGTCTTCCCCCAGCAGATGCTCCTGTCTGAGTAGAATACTAGACAGTCTTCCCCCAGCAGATGCTCCTGTCTGAGCAGAGTCTGTGCTGAGCCAGGAGGCAGCAGTGTTGTCTCACTGTGAGCTAGGCCTGGTGGCGCACACCTGATCCCGGCACTCAGCAAGCTGAGGCGGCGAGACAGCAGGTATCGGACCAGCCTGGCCCACATGGTGAACCTTGTCTCATAATAAAAGACCTCCCCCGCCCCAATTTTAGAAAGAAAAGTAGCTTGACAAGCAGTTACTTTGGGTTTTTGGTTATCGTTGGTGGTGGGTTTTGTTTTTGTTTTTGAGACATGATCTGTTATGTGGCTCTGGCTGGCCTGGGCCGCACAGAGATCCGCCTGTCTCTGCCTCTGCGCTGTCCCACAGCTGCCAAGCTCTTGCTGTGTGAGTCTGATGGTGACTAAGTTATTCACGTCACACTGCAAATGAAGAGAATTTTACAACAGCAGAAATTTACCAAATCTCAGGGTGCAGAAAACACAGCTTTTTACTCAGAAAAATATTTCTGGGGTTGTAGAGTATAGGCCGATGGTAGAGCAATAGTCCCCCCCCCACCACGCACACATGTGCACACACACATACATATACATATGCACACACACACACACACACACGGTGTCTGTACTGTACCAAAATGACTAATAAAAGCAAGAAAACTGGCCAGTTATGGCATGTTTGGGAGGCAGAGGCAGGAAGAGACATGCAAAATTTATGCAGAAGAAAACAGCTCATTTTATATATGGAAAACAGCTCTTCATAAACACAAGAAAAAGAATGGCTACAAGTTTGCTAGAGAAAAACGACATAAGTGTTTTGTAAATTTGCTGCCGTGAGCAAGGCAAAAGTGTTACCTATAACGCCCCCTGTGCTCTCCCAGTGATGCCAACTACCTAAGCATGAGGAGGAGGGTGCTGGAGAATAGCACAAACGGAGAAGGAACAAGAGGCAGCTGAAGGCTTCTAGGCAACGATTAATGCACCTTTCAAATGCAGCACGGCATGTTTACAAGTTCACAGGGCAGGTTCCGTGAGTGGGGGGACGGGGGACGGACGGACACGACTGACCACTCAAGAGGGGACAGGGTCTGACACGCACAGGGTATGAATGTGAAACATTAGTTTTGGAGACACCTTTCCATATGTTGTACACACGTGCATGCGCACACACAGGCACAGCAACCATTCTAAAAGTTTAATTTCCACTAAAACAGCCACTGAACTTAACTGAGAATGCTCACAAACCCCCTTTGTCACTTACCGGCTCGAACGCCTTCATCAAAGTCATGACCTTCCTGAAAGAGTCAAGAGCAGAGCGAATGGAGTAATTCCGGCACCCTTGCTCCTACGCTCTTCCTCTTCCACCCACCTCAGCCCTATGACTACAGCTGTGGCCACGGCACCCGGAGTATGGCGCCCTCCAGACAGCTCCCCTCAGACCACCGCCCAACTTCACTGGCTCAGGCAAGCCCACTGAGGCACGTCTCTACTCCTTCTCAGGTGGGTGCAGCCTCCACCCTGCCCCACCATGCTGCCTTCACGTTGTTCTTTCTCCAGACCAGGCTCTCGAAGCCACTGATATGGCCACTTGCTTTGGAAGACGTCCTCAGCCCTCAAACCTTTATACTATTCCAGCAAATTCCTTACATTAGCTGCCTCCCTAAAGAAAACCATAGCAATGCCACTCCCTTTAAAGTCCATGATGTATGCAGTAAGTCTCAAGCAGGCACAGAAGGCTGCCAGGATCCATGATCTCTCCCCAGTCTCGAGGCCACGCCTTCAACTCTGCTTCCTCAATGTCCGTCCTTCTCTCTCGCTCTGCCTCTTACATTCCCAACTAAGGACTCACTGTCCCCATTAACAAAAGAGAAGCTCCCAACAGCCACGCGCACACACACACGCAAGCACGCAAGCACACACACACACACATTCTCTGCACCCAAATTCCTGTGGTGGATGCAGTTTCCAGGCTTTCCTCTCCATTTCAAGACTAGAAGTTGTGTGTGTGTGTGGGCGGGGGGGGGGGGGGGGGGGGATCCTCCCTTCAGAGGGCAAGTCATGCCTGCGTTCCAGCCCACATCTCCTTTGTCCTCCCAGAGGTTTCCCTTGAGAAGGGGTGCCACAGCTCTCTCCTGACACCGTCGCTAGAGGCCACAGGACTAAGTGGCTGCAGACACGCAAGTCAGAAGCCTGTTGCTACCACACAGTAACTGTGCTGCCTGGGAATGCAGCTTCCTTCATGAGGTAGCTACATCAGTTCATCACGGGGCTACTTTAACCCGGGTCCTAGCACAGTGTGGTATGCTGTAACCTTGTTTCCCTCTGGATAATTCCCAGCCCTTTATGACCAAGCTCAATTATCTTCCGTCTTACAGATAAGCCGCAGTCCTGGACTCTGCTTTAAGGCGGCATACCCACATTATTCTCGCTTCCTCATAGCCCGTCTGCCCCTCATCTCCAGGGTATGGTGCTCTAACCTCTGCCTCTGCACCCCTGAAACAGCTTGCCCAAACTCACTGACTGTAAACCTTCCTTACTATTGCCTTGTTTCTCATACATTGGGGTGTGCTGTTTTCATTCTCATTCAAGTTTAGTAATTTATTTTTAAGTGACCCATTCATCATTCACGTGTGCAGTTTAATATCTAAGACCCCTGTATTTTCCATCACTGCTGATATTTAGCTTTATTCCAATGGAGTCAGAAAAAATACAAGGAGTTACTGCAGTTTTCCTGTACTTGTTGACACTTGCTTTGTATAATATGTGGCCTGTTTTGAGAAAATTCCCCAGGTTATGGAAAGGAAGGTGTACTCTTCAGCGTGTGGGCTCAATATTCCGCAGGTAACAGACCCCTGTGATGCTCAGCCCCACAGCCTTTCCATCTATTTTTAGATGATGTGTCCTGTGGTGAAAGTGGGGGACTGAAGTCACTTACTATAATGTATTGGGGGTAATCGTTGGTTTTATCTCTAGTAGCAGTTGCTTTATGAAGTTTGATGTACCGAGTTTGTTGCACATATTTGTGGAGCTATAACGTCCTGTCAATAGACTGTCCTATCACAGAATGATGTGATGCTCTTTGTAGCTTCTTATTAGTTCTGATTTGAGCTCTCTTTTGTCAGCTGTTCAGACAGCAATTCCCGCTTCCTCATTGTTGGCTTGGAACGGACACCTGCGGCCATTCTCTCACCGTGGTCCTGTCTCTCTTTGGTGGGGACACTCTTCTTGGAAGAGTAAAATGCTGGGTCCTATTTTAAGCCCAACCTGCTAACCTGTGCCTTTGACTGGGGAGCTGGAATCACCGCTATTCAGTTACTCTAGCAGGGTGTCCTGACGGCCAGATGTGTCAGATGCTGACTTGTGCTGTTTGCTTTCTTAGTTCCCTTTGATGTAACCACTGACCTAACGTGAATTTTTCTCCTGTGGCCCGTTATTATGCTGCTCTCTCTGCAGTCTGGGGCAGTCCTTCCACGGAAGTGGCTTGGTGATCACAAATTACTTCCACTTGCTTTCCTTACAGGGCTTTTTCTTTAGTCTTCAGTTTGGAAAGGTGGTTTTGCTGGGCAAATGGTCTGGGTTGGCATCTGTGTTCTTCCACTGGTCTGAGCCGCTCTGACTTTTAAGGGCTACACTGCAGATTCAGCTGTGATTCCGACAGCCCACGTTTCCATGGGGGCATGGTCCTTCTCCCCTGCAGCACCCACTATCCTTTCTGGGCTCCATTCCTTTAGTGTTCTAGTGGGATGTGGTGTGGGGATCTGTTTGGGGATACTTGTGTCTGATTGCCTCATTCACCTAGATGCCACCTACCTAGACTTGGAAACTTTTCTTCCATGATTTTATTCAAAGTTTTATAACTCAAGAACTTGCCTACAGACCCTGCACGCTCACCATAAGCCCACAGACCCTGCACGCTAACCACCCTGCACACTCACCACCCTGCACGCTCACCACCTTACATGCTCATCATGAGCCCACAGACCCTGCACGCTAACCACCCTGCACACTCACCACCCTGCACACTCACCACCCTGCACACTCACCACCCTGCACGCTCACCACCCTGCACGCTCACCACCCTGCACGCTCACCACCCTGCACGCTCACCACCCTGCACACTCACCACCCTGCACGCTTACCACCTTACATGCTCATCATGAGCCCACAGACCCTGCACGCTAACCACCCTGCACACTCACCATGAGCCCACAGACCCTGCATGCTCACCACCCTGCACGCTCACTACTCTGCACGCTCACCACCCTGCACGCTCACCATCCTGCACGCTCACCATGGTTTTCTTAAAGACTGATCATGTTCCTGGACTGTGGCCCAATTCCTTTCTTCAAGCCTTGATAATCTGTCTGCCACTTGCAATAAAGTGTAAAATTGTAGAATTTTACATATTCTGCAATGAATTTCCTAACTAGAAAACAACAACACTCAATATAAAATTCTTACCATACAGGCTTGACTTAGCCGATACTCCATGGTCAGTACCTCTGGCAAGGTCTTGGAAGAGCCCTCCATGAGCTGCCTCAGTGTGATCTTTAAGGATGTCGGAGACATTTTGTTAATCACCTTTGGAGAAAAAAAATATTCCTTGTTAGCCAACTGCCCGTTTGCCGTATGTAATAAGCCAGCTAAATTCCTAAGTAAGCCAGACTAACACCTGTGCTTTAGAACTTCTTCCACGGGCCAGAGACTCATAAAAACACTCCTCGGCCAAAGCAGGAGACGCAAACGTGCCAGCCCGCCACAGCAGGAACACAGGCCCTTCCACAAATGGAGCGACGCAGAGCCTGGTCAAATAAACCTTACTGGAGTGTTTGTACAGATTACACATCATCTCAAGGCAGGAAAGGAGAGCTGAGCGGCCGGGAAGGGAAGGAAGGAGTTGCTGACTGCTCTGTCCCGGGCTCTCAGCAAAGAGCTTAAAGAAAGTAAGCAAAGGAAAGAGCAGGGAGGTAGCAGCTGTGAGCTGGACGTGTCTCAACCTCAACATAACCCGGGCAGAGAAAACAGCTCATGACTAACTCTCCTTTAATATTAATTAAAAAGTAAGAATGCCACATCCGATCCTTCAGCTTATCCATGGGACTTGTTCTGAATCTAAAGAGCCTATTACTAGTGTTCCAAGCCACGCAGCTGACTGTGGCCACCTGATTGACACAAGAGACTACCACATACCTGCATTCTCCTTTATAACTGCACAAACCGTTTTCAGATGGATTATTGATATTGATAGCTCAAAGTTTAAACTGGGTTCAAAGAACTCTCACTTTGAATTCTATATTTTTTATTTTTAAACTTTTATATTTTTAGTTTTATATGTGTATTACTTCCTTATAATCTACCGGGTATCTTCTTACCCACTGAAGACACTCTTCTCTCCAACAAGCAACAAGTCCCCCTTGCTACATTCCTGTCTTTCTATGTGTGTGGTCCACTGCCTTTGGTTAGGGCTGCCCACCTCCTTCTTCTGTACAAAGTAACAGCCATGAGAGTAAAGGGAAGTCAAGGAAGATGATGGAGAGGGATTAAACAGATGTGTCTAAAATGTAATTTTGTCAGTACAGAGAAACACAGAGGATTGTACCTTAAGAAGGCGCAAGGAGGCGGCCTTTAAAGTTCTTCTTAGCGCTTCCTACCCTGACTTATCTTTCTCTTTGACCTGCAATGCTGTTACTGGATGAGAATGCACTACATCCATGGACTCAGTCAGGCAATGACTTCCCTCTTTGGGGAAAAGCATTCACTACATCGAAAGCATGAACAAGACAAAGCGTGGACGATGACTGGATTGGGCCTCTGCCTGAGTGCTTGGCTTAGACACCGATGCCCTCAGGTTTTCAAACTGGTCTTGATTGATAAAGATCTCACACAGCAATAGCGACATCGGTGTTCTGAAAAGCTTTCCCCAGGACAGGAAGACAACATGAGGAGCTCTCACCATTCCCACTAAATAGTGCTGATGGTATAAGCCAACGTAGGAAGAAGGGCAGTGGGGTGTGAACGGAAAGTGGGAAGGATGCAGGTGAAGAAGTTAGAAGAAAAAAAAGAAGGGAAGATAAAGTTAAATCCCCAAATATTCAAAGTAATCTGTAAACTATAAATACTTTCATAATGAGTTTAGCCATCATGGATACAAGGTAGAAGGTATATATACAAATTTTGGGTTCAGTTTTACTTCTATATCTTAACAAACAGAAATTAACTTTTAAATGATACCATTTTCAAAGGCATCAAAACCATCACTATCTACTGATAAATCTGATGAAAAACATACAGATGCAATTCTCTATAAAAAAAAACTGCAACGTCACCGAAATGAACGTGGGCCTAAATAAATGACAGAGCATAGCACCTGTGCAGAGAAGAGGTGCGGGCGTTCCTCTAAGGACACCGGAATTCCAGTGCACTAGGTGGAGAGTGACCATCTTGACACTGAATATGGACATGTGCTGGAAGTCTGGTTCTCGCCAATCTCACTCCACGTGCCTTCCCTTTGGCTTTTCTGAGTGTGTGTCACTACATGCCGAGTCTTGTGAGTCCTGCCAGGGGGTCACCAAACCCACAGGAGAGCTTGGAGACTCTAAACGTAAAACATAATATTGACTTTTCTCTTCGGAAGGTATTAAAGGTCCTAATGCCTTTGTATATGATGTATTTTATTATATGAAAGTTTTCGAAGGTAGACCAATACATTAAAGGTCTAAAAGAACAAATAAAAAAGGGGAAAGACAAGCTGGGTTACTATGAATCAGGAAGAGAAAGGGAAGGGAAGGGCTAAAGGAGAAAGTGCATGCAATCCAGATGCCAACTGAAGGATTCATATCCAGAACGGATAAATTTTACAAAATATGATGAATATTTAAAAGGTACTTCATGTGAAAAGATACTCATATGGTCAATCAATATATAAAATGGCATTTGACCACATTAGTTATAATGGAAATGCACATCGAGACCACAATACAATGTTATTTTATGTGCTCTTGAATGACCAAAATGAAGAAGAAATGGTAGCACATAGTGGTAAGAGTGTGGAACCAACCAGGGCTCACAGAAACCACCTTATAGGAAGAGTATTTAGGATAATAAATATGTGTACATACAAGGCAGGGCTTTGTAATACTACTGTGGCTATATACCTAACAGAAATATGAATCGTACAATAATAAGGCATATATGAAAATGTCCAGGGCCACAACAATTCTTACAGTAAAAATCTGCTAGGAACCCCAGATACATTGTGCAATGGAGTGTCTTGCCATTCTGGAAATGAACGTCCAAGCCACTGCTGTGCAGCGCAATGTGGGTTCATCTGCAGATGAAGACAGGCTAGGACACATTTCAAGTGTGGAGAAGCAGACCTTCTCTTTCTCTGTCTAGGATCCTGAGATGCTTCAGTCCTATGACAGGCCCAAGGGTTATCAAGCCCATGCATATAACACATAGCCCAAATGGTTTTTTTCCGCTGTTAACCAGGCATGTGTAGAAAGTCTAACTCTGAGGAACACTGCTTAATACTTAGCGGTGACAGGAAATGGCGGCATGCCAGCTTACACTGTATCACTTCCTTATTTAATCGCTCGGTTAAAGAAGGCCATCTTTCATATTAAACATTATTAATAGGCTAAATCGCCACTGTAATGTCACCAGGTGTCTACTCTGCAGTGACGCAGTCCTTCTAAAAAAATGTTTTTATTGGCTTCTCCCAGAAGACAAAGGGACATTTGGAAATGCAATAATGCCACCAAAGTCCCTCTCTGTTACATGCAATACTGCCACCAAAGTCCTTCTCTGTTACATGCAATACTGCCACCAAAGTCCTTCTCTGTTACATGCAATACTGCCACCAAAGTCCTTCTCTGTTACATGCAATACTGCCACCAAAGTCCTTCTCTGTTACATGCAAAGGACACAAAACCAGCTTCACTTGGTTTCTCAAAAGCCAGAAGATAGACATGACATTTGGGTACAGTCACGGTTTAGGAGAAAGGCTTTCAGAGGCTTTGTAAACAACATCATGGAATACTGACACCCCCCAGGCAGGCTTCCCTGTCCCAAGATGTCCAGACTCAGCTGGGACAGAAAGGATTCATGCATTACCTTCAACTGTTGTATGGCAAAAGGTGAACCATCCTGCCGTAAATTCTCAATAATCTGTTCCACAGAATTGGCTGAAAAACAACTGTAAAAAGAGAAGCACAATTTCACCAGCACACAAGAAATTCCCATATCCAAGACACCAGTGCGCCTGAGCACTGGCTTTTCCCAAGCCCCGTTTCAATAGGAAGACTTTCAAGGTGTTTTGCGAGGGAAGAAATGCTCACCACTTCCCGGTAAGAACAATTGTTGTCTTCCACTGCCAGTGAACCGTGAAGCCACTCCTGCCTTCTCAATTGCTTCTGTGCATTCCTGGGACTTACACTTAAATACTGCCTAAACTACAAAACCCGAAGCTTCAGAACAGAGAGGACAGCACTATCTCCCAGCCACCTTCCTCCTGCTCTTCCCTTGGGCCAGCTGGCTAGTCCCAGATCACAGCACAGAGCCTCTGGCTGAGCGGTTTAATAGTACCTTCTTGGAAGATGATGTTGTGAAGACAAAAGGTAAGATAATTCAATTACTCTCTGGCCTTTCTCCCCAACTTTAAAAAGAGATATTTGTATTAAAATGAGCAAGCACAGGAGAGGCCAGCAACGAATAACTCCTCTTGCAAGAGTGGGTGAGAGGTTACTTTCAAAGGTAAATGAAAAGAAAAGCAGGATACTATCCGTCTCAAAATGTGGAGCTTTCTCAAACAATGACAGCGGGAGCAGATCTGACTTGATTCAGCCTCCCAAAGGACAGCGTGATCAGTACCTTGAGTTAAGTACCTGTTTATTTTGTCCATGTGTTCCTCAAATATGGCAGATTTGTCTTGATCCATCTTGGACTGTTTGAAAAGAAGGAATCTGAAGTGACGCAAATCTTTTTTAAAAAATCCTTTACAAGTTCATCACGTTTAATGACACATTTGTGACAGATTATCGCTTTCATTCAAATTCCATTTAACACTTCCATAAATAGCTGCTACCGTATGTTCAAACATCAGAGAATCACAGAGCTCCAGATAAGCGCTTCAAAGTGCCAAAGGCACCCTTATTTCTTTATTCTTGTCATCTCAATGTTTCTGTGCATCTAAAGATAAGAGCCTAGGACCCAAGACCTTAGAACACCACGTCAAGTACCCGTCAGAACTAGAAACCCCCACTGCCTGCCTGGCATCCCTGCAGCTTGACCTCGTGGAGCTAGACAACTAAGTATTCAGTACTCATCCTTTACGGGCTCTCGACCTGAGCTCTCTCCTGTTTATATTTCAGTTAATCTCTCTTTGACCACCCATACCTCACACGACACAGCAGGCACCTTCTTATAAACACGTGCCGCTTTACCAAGATCATTCTTACCAAGGTCACTCTTGCGGTGTGCCGGAATGTGAGGCTGCATTGCAGCAAGGGGCTGAGTTTTGGTCTACAAGGCAGCCCTGTTACACAGCTTTTAGACACTGAACTCCAATCAAGCTCTCGCTTGGAAGCCTGCGTATCATGTGTTTCTCCGTTCCAGTACTTAGGAATCCAGCCCTCTAGACGGTCCTGTTTATCTTCAGTAAGTCATATGGCGTGCCCACCACAGCTGCCAACTGAATGGCGCATTCCCAGGACCAGGCGAGGACCTCCAGGTGTCAGGAGGAGCTCCCCGAGTGCCAGCGCATGGAGGAGGACGGCAGACCCTGGATCTGCAAGCCCGCTCAGGTCCTCCCACTTGCCAGGCGCCTCTCCCTCCTGTACAGCACCCGCCCGTCCCCGGCCCTTGGCCGGCCTTTCTAGACTTTTGGAGATGTAGCTGCACACACTAAAACTTGCAAGACATTATTATTTTTTTTCCCTGCTCCACACCAGTATCCCTGCCTCCAGGCCTCTCCGTTCTTCCTCCCCTACTCTCTCCCTTCCTCTCTGTGGCACTGAAGAAACAGCCGAGCAAACACCCCACCACCGCACTACACCCCTGCCCACAGCGTGGGTCGCGCAGGTCTTCAGAGGCTCCTGGCTCCTTAAAGGGCTCGCCACAGGACTCAGCTGCTCTGGCTGACACCCCTCCCCCCCCCAAGGATGATGTCACAATCTCGCTTGTAGTTAGAGCCCTCTTCTCTAAAGCTGCCATTGTATTGATACATCATTTCCACCTTTGTTTTCTCTCATTTCATCTGACTTCATCAATCTCTGCCTTTTCTTCCTCCACTACAATTCCAGTGAAATTTTAGACGATCATGTATTTGATTGTGATTTGTAAGGATTCTTGGCTCTGTGTGTGTGTGTGTGTATACGTGCGCGCACACACATGTATAGTGTGGATATGTAACTGTGGAGACCAGGCATCAACCTTATGTGTTATTCCTCTTTCGGTGTCAGTTCATCGGCACTTGGAGCTCACCTCTTAACCTAAGCTAGGCCGGCTGCTCAACAGGTCTCAGGGGACTTCCTGTCTCTACCTTCCCAGAGTTGGGGTTACAAATGTACCATATCTCGATTTATAAAAAGCTCCCATAAGTGGGTGCTGGGGATCAAATTCAAGTCCTGAGATGCTTGTGCAGCAAACACGTTACTGACTGGGCTGCTACCGCCCCAGCTTCTATTTTTGGCCTTTATAAGAAAACTCAGGTGACGTAAGAATGAAACATCGCAGCACATTGTATTATTAGTGGTTCGTTTTGGCAGCGCCACAAAGAGTCTGAACGTTGAACCCCTGTCACAGAGATGCCACAGAGCACAGCTAAAGCTTCTGCAGAAGCCCCTTCCAAAGCCAAGCACTTACGTTCAAAAGACAAGCTATGCAGAGGGCAGGTATCAGGTGGCTACCCCAACACGGAAGCTCTGGTCCTCTCACCAAGCCTTGAAATAAATGACCCTCAATGCTCTTCCTCCCTCCCCCACTTCCTTTTTTTTTTTTTTTTTTTTGGTCTTTTGAGACAGGGTTTCTCTGCAGCTTTGGTGCCTGTCCTGGAACTAGCTCTTGTAGACCAGGCTGGCCTTGAACTCAGAGATATGCCTGCCTCTGCCTCCCGAATTCTGGGATTAAAGGCGTGCGCCACCACCACCCGGCTCCTCAATGCTTTCTATTGAAGAGAACCAATGCTTACTGACCGCTCGCTGTGTGAGCACCGTATGTTCCCTGTGATTGGGAACCACTTACCCGTGCCTGGTAGCTTTCTAAGACACCCGCAATATCTTCTGCCGAGGGTGACTTCAAGGCCAGCAACTCTTCCTCTAACTTGGGCAGCTAAAAGTTAAGAAAACAAGACGTGCAACTTGACAGAGGCAGAAAGCTTTTAACCCCTTGGGGTCCTTATCTTAAGATCTATGCTCCCTTCACATCAGCCCTGACAGAAACGTGGACTGCAGCTCCATGCACATGCACAGCAAATGCTGCCTCCAAAGGGAGGACGAGACAGGAAATGAAGCAGCCCTTGTGCTGTGGGATAGCGTGGAGGAGGAGAGGGACGGTGAGGAGGGGATGTGGGGCTGGGCTCAAGTACTTTGTCCGAGGTCATACAGCTCTAACGAATAAATTCAACCTTCATACTCATATTCCCAAAGACCCATGATCTCAACCCAAAAATTACCTTCTCTGAATCTACAAAATGGGTGGCGATTCCTGCTCTGTGCACGTCTCTTCCTTTCAGTCTGAACCCGGTCAGGGCAAGGAAGTAGCCCAGTTTGCCTGGAAGTCGTGGCAAGAAATAACCGCCGCCCACATCAGGAAAGAGCCCTGGAAGTAAGGACAGCAAAAAGGATAATTCGAATGGAGGGTGGAGTGAGTCTCTTAGATTGTCTACACAGACGGAACCTGTACTACAAACATTATATGCTATACATTGAACTCAAATCACAAACATGTTATAAAACTGTTAACGTATTTTGTACATTTTCCAAATTCTCTGCATCTCACTGCTAGAGAGGTCACTAAAGTATGTGACGTACGCAGTCAAGTATTCGACAGTACCTTGTATATTAGGAGCATGCGGTACTGGGGACAGGCGGCTCAGTGGGGACCAGCCTTTGACTCCTAGACCTCCACTTCAAACTTCAGGGGTGGCAGCGTCTGATTTCAGACCCAGAACTGGACAAGCCAGAGCCAGAGAGGTACCGGGTCACATGACTAGCCTGACCAAGCTCCCGGAGAAAGAGACCCTGTCTCAAAGACAAAAGGTGGGCGGTACCTAAAGAGTGAGAGTCAGCGCAGCTAACAAAGTATCTCCTTTCCAAACAGAAAGCACGGAGCTTCTTTTCCCATTGACCCGGGAGAGGGCCTTTCGGAGTAGCCCAGCATGGACGTGGACTTGTGGTCTCTTCCCTCAGCCCACCGCCCCCTCAGCACTGGGATTACAGGCATGAGTGATGCCCAGAAAGTACGGTATTTTAAACATGAGTCTTACTTCCCATTTCTGAAACTTTCCAGAGGCTGTGTTTTCTCTGAGAACACCCTAACACAGCTGTAAATGTCCACCCATGTTTTCAGTTGTATCTCGTAGATCACACACTGGCCCAGTCTCTTGAGTCTTCTCATCTGCCCGGCACTCACCTCCTGACCAGAATCTCAGGGACACTCTGAACACAGGAGACCCTGCGGTCCTGACATGCGCACTTGTCTTACACACAATGAGCGCTTCTTTTCCCCGTAGCAGTCTCTAGTGGCTTGACCTCTGAGTGCTGCAGAGACCACACCTGCTATTAGGATGCCCACCTGGGGTTAGCTGCCTTGACTCCCGTGGATTTAGTAAAATCTATATGCGGATTACTCTGTTATTAACAAAATTGTTCCCCAAATCTGGATGTTGAAGCCTCAGCCCACAATGTAACTGTATTATTTAGAGGTGTAGCTTCAGGTGCTGTGGAATAATCCTTTTGTACGCTGTAAACACCTTAATTTAATAAACAGCTAAATGACCATTAGCTAGGCAGGAGGTGCAGGCCAACACCCAGGCACAGAGGACTCTGGGAGGAGAAAGGCGGGGTCACCAGGAGATGCAGGGCGAGCAAGACAAGCTGGAGGGCAGGTAAAGCCAAAAGGCCACACAGATGAATAGAAATAGGTTAATTAAAGTTGTAAGAGCTAGTTAGGACAAGCCTAAGCTATGGGCAAGCGTTTATAATGAATACGTTTCTATGTTATTACTGGGGAGCCGGTTTTTTTTTCTTTTATTTATTTATTTATTTATTAATAAATACAATATTCTGTCAGTGTGCAGGCCTGAAGAGGGCACCAGACCTCATTCCAGATGGTTGTGAGCCACCATGTGGTTGCTGGGAATTGAACTCAGGACCTTTGGAAGAGCAGGCAATGCTCTTAACCGCTGAGCCATCTCTCCAGCCCCCTGGGGAGCCGGTTTTGCCCAATGAAAAGGTCCAAGACATTCGGGTATGTGGGAGTGCAAGGGGGTGCCATAAACCAACAGAACTATCTTTATGAAAGAGATCCACACATGGAGGAAAGGCCACATGAAGACAGCTTGACCTTGACTCTCAGCCCCAAGAGATGTGAGAACCAATGTGCTGCTTTAAGCCAAGCAGTCTGCGGTCCTGTCGAATAGGCTCAAGCTGATGAACAGCCTCAAACCTAGCTGTGCCTTCTCCCTCAAACACCAAACTCAGCACTGTCTTCTCTGCAGTCACATGGTGAGCCAGCATCTCCACAGGTAAAACCGCTCTGGGCTCGCATCCCATCAACTACAGTGCTCTTTCCTGACCTGCCTCCTCTGCCCAGAAGCATAAACCAAACGGCCTGGTGCTGTCCCTAGTCACAGCTCAGGGTCACCCCATCCAGGGCTCCCCTTAGAGCTCCTCAGTACAGTGTGTGAAGAAGGGACCTGAGCCTCGGGAAGGGATAGGCATAGGAACAAAATCCAATGCCCGTTCTTCAGCAATATGGAAGGAATACTCCTCAAGCTAACAAAGATGTAGTGGATTCTCGTATTAGTAACTTAACCACACGCCTAAAAGCTCTAGAGCAACAAGAAGACATAATACCCCAAACAGTAGATGGGAGGAAATAAACTCAGGGCTGCCGTCAATGAAATAAAAATGATAACAAAATCAATACAAAGAATCAATGAAACAGAGATGGTTCTTTGAGACTAGTCAACAAGACTGACAAACACATCCCCAAACCAACTAATAGACAGAAGCTACAACTGAATAAAATTAAAGAAAAGGAAGACACAACAGACACCATGGTAATTCAGAAAATCATAAGGATAGTTTTAAAAATCTATACTTCACTAAAGTGGAGAATCTAGAAGAAACAGATGAATTCCTTGATATAAATGACCTACCAGAATTAAGTCAAGATAAGCAATGTATAATGGTCCATAACCCCTCATGAAATAAAAGCAATTAAATCTCACAACAACAACAAAAAAGTTCAGGGAGCCAGATGGATTCATCGCAGAATTATACCAGTCCCTCAAATAAGAATTAAGACCAATATTCTTCAAAATACTCCACAAAATAGAAAATGAAGGTTCACTTTCTAGTTGCTTTTAAGAAGCCACTAATACCCCAATATCTAAGTGACACAAAAACCTAACAAAAAAGCTTTTAGACAAATACCCCTTACGAATATAAATGCAAAAATTCTCAGTAAATTACTCCCAAACCAAATCCAAGCAAACATCTATCATTATCACCTTGTCTTTATCCCAGAGATGCAGGATTGAGAGACTAGTGATACGTGGGCCATACCTATTAATAAAGGTAACTTACAGCAAGCCTACAGTCAACACCAACTTAGATGGGGATAAAGAGTAAGATGAGGTAGTGCACTCTCTCCATCCCTACTCAACATAGAACTGGAGGTCTCGGCTAGAGCAACCAAACAACTGAAGGAGATCAAGGAGATGCAATTTGGAGAAGAAGTCAAAGTATCTTAATTTGCAGACGATATGATTGGATACACAAATGATGCTTTAAAACCCCACCAGGAAACCTTCTGCAGCTGTTTAAACACTTTTAGCAAAGTAGCGGGACATAAAATCAACACATGCAAATGAGTAGACTTCCCATATACAAATGACAAACATACTGGGAAAGAAGAAATGCAGGAAATAGTAACTTTACAAGAGCCTCAACACAAAAATATCTCAGGATAACTCTAACTGAGCAAGCAGAAGACTTGCACAATAGAAACTCTAAGACACTGAAGAAGACATCAGGAGATGGAAAGATCTCCTAGTGCTCACGGATCAGTAGGATTAGCACAGAAAACATGGAAATCGATCTAACTCAAGAACCAGCTACCCACTCCCGGGCATATACCCAGAGGACTCTCCATCCTGTCACAAGGACACTTGCTTAACCACGCTCATTACTGCTCTATTCTTAATAGCCCCAAACTGGAAATACCGAAATGTACATCAGCTCATGAACACATTGTGAAAATGTGGTACAATTTACACAATGCAGCTAGGCAAAAACTCATTCTGAGTGAGGTAACTCAGAGCAAAAAGACCAATACTGTGTGCAAATGTCAGCTTCTAAGCTTCTGATATCTGGACTGCAATCTGAATCACCAGAGGTTAGGTACCTGAAAAAGGGCTAGGGAGGAGGAGACACGAGGAAGACAGTGTGCAGAGTGAGAGAGACTGGCGCCCTACACGGGATGTCTTTGTCAGACACTCAAGGCTCAGGGGTCTGTCAGGAAGAGCAGGCAGGAAGACTGTTAAGGGCCGGAGGTGGCGGGTGAGTACAGGGAAAGACTGTCTTCCAGTCACAACAGGATTGACACTCACACGAACTTGGAGAGACCACAGCAGCACGGAGAAGGCTGGCGCGGGACCACGCTATATGGGGTCTCAGCACTGAGGGGCAAGTGAACACAACCCAAACCAAAAGCTATCTGCAATGGAGAGCAGCAGGCACCTCCACAGAGAGCACACACATCTGGTGGGGACCACAGTGATTGACTGAAGACACAGGGGCCCTTTCAACAAACCTTGCTAGGGTGACTCACTTTTAACACAAAATAGTAATGTTGACCGATGAATGGAAATGGGAGGGCATTTTTTTATTTTTTTAACCTTACCTGAGATTAACGACAGGGAACTAGTATTATGGGCTTAGCTGTGCTATAATTACTGAGCTAATATAGAGTATCATTTTTGTAAGTTCTTTTATTGTGGTATCTCATATGGCATCTTCTGGCTACATATGTATATCTATAAAATACTCTGAGAAGTAGTAAAGAAATGTGATTCAAAAGGAATTACAAAAGCTTTTTTGGTGTTTTACCTATTCCCGTTTCTGGCATTGCAAAGAGGGTCTTTTCAGTAGCTACTCGGAATCGCCCATGAATGGAAACACCAACTCCCTGGGAAAAAGGGGAAGAAATGCCTTAACGTGTGGTAAAAATGGAGAGATTAACACACAAGTATTACAAAGCAAGCAGGTGTTACCTTACATTCCACAGCAATCTGCTTCAGCACGTGGGCTGAAGGAAACCCCAAGCCTTACCATGAACTTTCCACACAAAACTACACAGGCGTCTCTGCCAGGCGAGCCTGGCCTGCTCTAAGTGGGCAGTTTCCGGCAGCGGTCTGTGTTGTGTGCTGGGTCTTCCCAGCACTACTGGATATCCGCCCTCTGCAGAAGCTCAGTACTGCTTATTACTTGTATTAATAACCATAAAAGCTTGATCAACTTATAGAAAATTTCAATAATTTTGAAGAGAATATTTAACACATTTCTTAACCTATTTTATCAAATAAAATTAGCCATATCATTATTCTAACATGCAGCATTTAGTGAGACCAGTTATAAAACTTCTCCAAGTTGGCTACTAAAAGATTTGGTTAGCCAACACCCAGTGGTTAGCCTTGAAAACACGCACAAAAATAACATACAGACTGAGCAGGTTGTATTTAGGCACACGTGTGTATGTGTGTGCACGCGCGTGCACTTATGTAGTAAGAAAAGGCCATGAATTTGGAGGAGAGAAGGGAGGAGTAGATAGGAGGGCTGTATGGGAGGTCTACAGAAAGTCCTGGGTACAATCTCAAGCACTGCAGAAAATCAAGTAGAAACTTGTAATTTTAGTACTAGGGAGGCAAAGGCAGAGGTTCAGAAATTCAAAGTCATCCTCAGCTCCACAGAGCTTGAGGCCTCCATGGAATACCAAGATCCTGACTCAAAATAAATAAATAAATAAATAAATAAATAAATAAGTAGTTTTCAAAAAAATTCTAAAGCTTAATGTTGTATTTTATTTAACTATTAATTTTGGAGATGCTTCTCTGCTATACAAGGAAGGTCTTAAAGCCTTCCGTCTTTACTGCATTAACTAGTCAATCTTTAACACCCTGTATCTAACCCCTGCACCTTGTCAAAGGAGCTGCCAGACTTCTGCTCATCTGAGAACACTCCCTGTCTGTGACAGAGGACTCCCTCTGCTCCCTGGGAGTGGCCTTGGGACAGCTCATTATCTTCTGAGGTTTTCCCTCTCTCCTGGTGGGTTTTTCCTCTTCCCTTTACAGGAAAGCGTTGACCTGAGGCCATCCCTCTATTTCCCTCTCCTACAGTTGGCCTACACTCATCCCCTGGGCTCTCTGCAGCTCCAGGGTATCCATTTCCTCTAAAACAGTGGCCTGCTATTTTCCCATCCCCAATCTCTCTGGACTCTACTAGGCTCAGAGATTCCTCCATGGGTAAAAGTGGTCACCAAAGTCTGAGGAGCTGACCTCAGTGCCTAAGCCACGTGGAGGAAGGAGAAAGTGACTCCCGTGGGCTGCCCTCTGACCTCCCAGGTGCACTCGTCCTCTCCCCACACAGAGAAAGATGGGTTTTCTCAGGTTGTCTTCTCTTGCCCACACTGCCTTTCCAGGTCAGTTCAATTCCCCGACTTCTCCACACGGCCCTCTCTCTGCCCTGCAGGTCCTTCCTGACCCCTCATTCTGTGGGGACTAGAATTTGTGACAGTCGGCACCAGACAATTTGCCATCTGGTCTGTAATCATTTCATGTCTCCTCCAACTTCAAAGCACATCCAAGTCTCTTTTGTGATGGCACAGGCACCAAGTAACGCATGTGTCAACTGAAAGGAACACATTTTTAAGAACACCGGCTTGGGTCTAGTGGCATACACCTGCAACCCCCCGCACCTGGGAGAAGCCAAAGGCCTGAGAAACCAAGACTACCTAAGCTCAGGGGACGACCCTGTCTCAGAGGAGACGACTGTGAAATGTTATAGGGCGGGAACAATTCAGTGAGCCACCTCCCGCTACTGCAGGTCTAATGGAGTTTTCTCCCAGCACTACGGAAGCACTCTGGTAATGTGTCAGCAGGAGAGTGGGCTGCAGCGATGTAGACTGGGGATGCAGAGGCAGGAACGTCTTCAGCTCAAGGTTGCCCGCTACAAGTTCGTAGCTGGCCTGGGCTATATACTAAAGCCCTGCCTCAAAAGGCAAGGGCTAAGGATTTCGTATAAGAACATTTGCATAGTGTGCACGCAGCCCCGAGTTCACTGCACGTCCCACATGTAAAGAGACCAGTACGGGCAGAGCTGGGCAAAGGGCTCATGGGCAAAGCACTTGGTGCACAGGCCTGAGAATCTGTGTGTGGATCCCCAAAACCTACATACAGCCAGGTGTCTAAACCCAGGGCTCTTCAAAGGAGATGGGAATAAAATCAGGAGAACCGCTGAAGTTTGCATATGCAGCAGAAAAATAACAAGAGGCCTGGCTCAAGGACAGTAGAAGGTGAAGCTGATAGACAAGCTATCCTCTGACTGCCACCCATGCAGCACGGCACATGCCTGCCTGCAGAGTCTCAATTTTATCCCCCTACACCACAAACATGCATGCACGCACACACACACAAGTACGTTTTTAAAAGTACAATCAGTTTCTGTGGCCTAAGAGAGTCTGATAATTACAGAGGTTAAAATAGATTATAGCATAATTAAAAACATGGAATATTCATTTGGCTCCAATACACCAAATCTTCCAGGATCTGAAACTGAAACATACACGTTTCACTGAGCTGTACTGTATTGCATTCCGTGTCTCACTTATACGAAATAATCATTACCTTATTTTAATACAGCTCACACAATGAAAATGAGAAAAAGTCCACTTACCCCACCCATTGTGAACCCGTCAATGAGGGCGACATATGGTTTCTGACAAGTAGCTAAACGAGAGAGAGCTTAAGTTAGAATATATAAACTACATCTACTTTCCAAACAGTCACATCATGTGTACTCTAGTTTCCCTGGCGAATGCTTAAAGGGGTATCAAGGAAGACTATTATGTGATTTGTAATGTGTATTTAAATGTCAATTCACTCACACTCATGATAAAATAATCACTGCTGATTAATAACTGTCTTAAGTCAGAAGCAAATGAATGTTTTGTATTATGTGACAATGAAGAAAAATGATTAACATCTCTATTATAAACCACGCTCCCAGCTGTGCTTTAAGAACATACTTGCTTTCTATACAATGAAAGCATCGGATACATGCAGAGAAGTACACCGTGCAAGAACAACCACAGAAGGGCTGGAGAGATGGCTCAGCGGTTAAGAGCATTGTCTGCTCTTCCAAAGGTCCTGAGTTCAATTCCCAGCAACCACATGGTGGCTCACAACCATCTGTAATGAGGTCTGGTGCCCTCTTCTGGCCTGCAGGCATACACACAGAAAGAATATTGTATACATAATAAATAAATATTTTTTTTTTAAAAAAAAAAGAACAATCCCAGAGTGGGGTGACAAAACCCAGATTCCAGTCTCTGCTTGATTATGAAATAATGAGATAAACGCATGTGTTACATATGACATACACATGTCAGATAAGGGTGCTTCATGTACATCATCTGTGAATATGTGTCCTCATCTATAAAATAAGATTTAACACACATCTGATAAGGGTGCCTCATGAACATCATCTGGGAAATTGTGTCCTCATCTATAAAATAAGATTTAACACACATCTGATAAGGGTGCCTCATGAACATCATCTGGGAAATTGTGTCCTCATCTATAAAATAAGATTTAACACACATCCTCAAACACTCCACCCTGCTTGAAAACCCCACTAGTCACCCACACTTTTACTATCTCTGTTTCCCTTCTCAGAGAGTTGGCAGAGAGAGCAGAGTAACATAAATTCCGGGGCTTCTGCCACAGCTTACTGTCAGGACTACCCCCGATGAAAGCCAGGATAAACCCACGTTCTGATACATCTGGGAATTCCTGAAGTATTCACAAACAAAGCGCAACTCAGACTTCACACTCACAAGCTCTCTATCTGCAGCTCTTTAGAAACTATAGAAGTTATTGATTGTGGTGGAGGTAAATACACTGACTCCCTGCCAACTACTATAGAAGTGAGTTATTTCAAATATAAACTATTAGACAACAATTAATGTAGGACATGAAGCCAGAATCTGCCATATCTTTTACTGACTATAATATCACTACATGCAGAAATTTTACCTTATGTTTTTTTTGATACTATTAATATACTTTACACTGCCTAAACACCTTCTATTTCCTTTTTATCCCATGAAAAAATGAGTGGTCATTATCCACATGGAATCACTTATATTCAAATTGTAATTAAACATCATTTAAAACTGAGTTTCTTGATTCCATCTCACGTGTTCGGTGGCTCTCAAAATGGACAGCACACATGCAGCTTCACTCCTGGTTGATTTCCTAAAAACCACAGACTGTTGATGGTACTATGCTGTGAACCATAACTCCCCAAACATTCACAAAGATGACTCCTGTCAAAGAGCTCAGTTCTCCCCAGGCTAGGTGGAACAAGTCACCGTCTTTCCAGTCCAAGCCTCCACAGGTCCTGACTGGCTGGACTCACTCTGTTCTCATAGTCACTCATTCTCATATATTCTCTCTCTTTCTCTCTCTCTCTCTCTCTCTCTCTCTCTCTCTCTCTCTCCCCTCTCCCCCCCTCCCTATGTCTGTCTGTCTGTCATCTGTCTGTCTGTCTGTTTGTCTCAAGGCTAGGGAATAAACCTCAGGCCTTTGGGTTACATATTCCCAGACTTCTAAAAAAAATTTTTAGAACTAGACAAAACAATTATTAAGTTAAAAGAGAAGACTTTAAAAAATCCAAGAGTAGTCAAAACAAAAGATGTGTACAAAAGTCTTCTATTTCTGGGAAATTTCAGAAACAGTGTGAAGCTATAGAGCATATCCATTCCATATATTATTTAAAAATAAACTTAGCATTCGGTCACTAAAGTAGCAATAAACCATCTCTAACAGTAAAAACCAAATGACCTCGTATGCAAAAATGTAGGCTAGACAGTATTAGGTATACTGACAATGCTGGGCAGTCAAGAAGTAAAGGGTCAGCGACCAGCACTGAACAGTGAACTGCGGTGTTAAGCTTTGGATTCTACAGGTTGGATATACTGAATGTCTTGCAGTGCCTTCAACTTAGTTGCAGCTTATTTGGACACAACTCCCATCCTAAGTCAGGGAATGTCTGCACACTGCTTGGTAAGTTGGTTTAACCACAACGTGCTGTTAATGTTCTAAAATCCCCTGAACACTAATGGTATTCCGCTATAAGATCTAACTCCACAGATTCATGAGAGAAAGACTCATATTAAAAAAGTCAGGAGGCCCCAAGTTAGTGAAGAACAAGCTCTGGTTGAAAAAAGGAATGACACTAAAGAAAACCACAAGAGGGCTGAACTGTAGCTTTAAGATGCATTGTTCTTACAACAGCATGCAAAATCAGAATATTGCTACTATGTCTAGACTATAGATACAAATGCTGTATTAATTTATCTTTTCAAAACATGTTTGTCTGAAGTAAACTCTACTTCACTTACACAGAAACCTAGAATTCTGATTCTAAAGAGAATTCCCACTCCAGAGTTCCTGGAGAAACACAAAATGGTACTTCATTTTCTTTAGAAACTAGGAATACGTGTTTTCTTGTCTCCCGAGAAAGGTAGCTAAAGGATCAAGAATCCATATTTTCACATTGATTTTAGACAAACACAGAATAATTGTATCAGTATGACATTACTATGTTTTGGTCATACTGGCTGCAGTCTAACAAATCACAGTGCTATCCCAGCTCTGGATTTCACTCTCAGAGCTCGGAGCGGATCCTACACATACCAATGGCATTGTTCAGGGTGTATTCTTCTCTGAAATAAACCCGAGTCAAATTCTGCTTTGCTCTTTTAGCTTCTGAGAGCACTAAACAAGGAAGGAAAGGAGAAAAAACAAAGAAAGAACAATTACAAATCATACAGATGGCTTCCAGTCAATACAGCCAGAGATACTAAAGTCCTGTCATCAGTAAATGCTAGAGGGAGGGGAACTTTCAGATGGTGTTAATGTTTGAAGCCACCTATGTTGGGGACATATTACCTTTTGTCAGAGACCCACAGTTCAATGTCAAAGTTTCAAAGAAAAAATTCTTCTTTTACTTATTGTGCTGTTAACATACGCATATGTACACAAGCGTTCATGCATGCACACGTGCATATACATATACACATACACAAACACAGACTTTCACCCACAGTTCCTGACTCCTTAAGTCCTTCAAGGTAGGTCACAGACACAAGAACTTATCCCTAAAGCAGGTCACAGTCTCTATATTCTTTTCTGTCAGGGGACATGAGAGTTACAGCAGGTGACAGCAAGTGTTCAGATGTCCACCCAAGATGAGTGACTCTCTGATGAAGGTTGATCCTGTCCAGGCAAGGCCTGCAGGACCATCGACTCTGGAAACTGTTGCTCATATTCGCTAAGGCGGCTTGGTGTCTCCCCAATACCTGCACTGTAGTGTGTAATCTCCTGTGATGTGTATATGTAGTTCTTCCCAACACCTGCACTGTAGTGTGTAATCTCCTGTGATGTGTATATGTAGTCTTCCCAATACCTGCACTGCAGTGTGCAATCTCCTGTGATGTGTATATGTAGTCTTCCCAATACCTGCATTGCAGTGTGCAATCTCTTGTGATGTGTATATGTAGTCTTCCCAATACCTGCACTGTAGTGTGTAATCTCCTGTGATGTGTATATGTAGTTCTTCCCAACACCTGCACTGTAGTGTGCAATCTCCTGCACTGTAGTGTGTAATCTCCTGTGATGTGTATATGTAGTTCTTCCCAACACCTGCACTGTAGTGTGCAATCTCCTGCACTGTAGTGTGTAATCTCCTGTGATGTGTATATGTAGTTCTTCCCAACACCTGCACTGTAGTGTGTAATCTCTTGTGATGTGTATATGTACTCTTCCCAATACCTGCGCTGTAGTGTGTAATCTCCTGTGATGTGTATATGTAGTCTTCCCAATACCTGCACTGTAGTGTGCAATCTCCTGCACTGTAGTGTGCAGTCTCCTGTGATGTGTATATGTAATCTCATGATTGCATCTCAATCTTATGGGTACATATACCTGTGGGTGGTCAGGAAGATGACTTTTCATTTAGTTATATAGTTTTGATATATAGAATATATTCTGGGCCATGCTTCATAACTGGATCTATTTGTCCCACAAGGACTGTGGACACTTAAAAAGCCTGTTTTACTCTTTGGCTCAGACTAATTGCACACCAATTAGCTCACTTTCACCTCAAAACAAGTTCAAACTAGACTAAAGGCCTTTGGTAAACAGACCTTAAGTTTAAAACCTTACAGCTATGCACAAGGTCAGAGCTGCAGATGTCCAACTAAGGTTACTAAAGAAAAGCATGCCAATTCTTTGCTTGCCAAGTCTGTTAACAAAAGACCTATGTCTCAAAGCTTATCTCAGCGGACACTGCCCCTGCCCTCTGGTCACAGTCTCACATCTGTGACCTTGGACCCTTGTGTTGCCATGGCAATGGCTCAATCCCTATGGCAAGGGCTCAATCCCTATGGCAATGGCTCAATCCCTATTGCTTGCCCCAGGAATGTGCTTTTGACCAATGAGAGACAACTGTTGTAATTTATCACTTCAAGGCTCCTGGGAAAAAGAGTTCAGAGCAGGAAGAAGTGAGGAGAAGCAGCTAGGAGAATGTAGCAGTAATGGTCTGCCCTGTCCCTTTAAGAGACAAGCCTTACCCACCCCCTCCCTCCCTTCACCCTGCCTGCAGCCTGAGCTCCTCTCTCTCTCTCTCTCTCTCTCTCTCTCCTCTTCCCCTTCCTCTCCTTCACTTCCATAACCCACTAAATAAACGTCCTTTGCTGAGTTAGACTCACTTAGCAACTCAAAGTCACTTTTCCCCAAGCCTTCTCAGAGTTCCTTCTAATTTTATTTTAAGCTAATTTCATTTAAATCAACTAATTATTTATTGTGGTGGTTTGAATGAAAAGGGCCCAGGTAGGCTCACAGGGAGTGGCACTATCAGGAGGAGGCGTGGCCTTGTTGGAGGAAGTGTCTCACTGGGGGCGGGCTTTGTGGTTGGAGAAGCTCAAGCCCAGGCTGTTTCACTCTCTTCCTGCTGCCTGCAGAGCCAGGTTTCTCTCCTTCTCCAGCACCCAATCTGCCTGCACGCCATCAGTCAGTCCCAGTTAAATGTTTTCCTTATAAGAGTTGCTGTGGGCATGGTGTCTCTTCACAGCGACAGAAACATTAACTAAGGCATATATATATTAAAATTAAATAACATTCACCTTTAATATTTTCCCGAGTATATACTTCTTGTAGAATTTTCTAGAACTCACACTGTTTTGTGCATATAAACTAGAATAATCCTGGAATTTAAAACTATATTTATAAACCAGAATATAAAGTTAGTTCCATGTGGCATTTATATGTGAAAGGTCCCCCCACAGCGTCAGATACCTGAACACTTGGTCTAAGGCTGGTGGTTCTGTTTTGAGCGACTCTGGAAGGTACAGTCTTGCTGAAGAAACTGTCACTAGGGCAAGCTTTGAGGGGTCACGGTCTCACCCCACTTCCAGTTTGTTTTCTGGGCTTCTGCTTGCACTGCTCTGGCTGCCATTCCTCCCGTCATGGACTGCCCTGGAACCATGTGCCAAAATGAACCCTTCCCCTGTGAGCTGCCAATGCTGCGTCACAGCCACGGAGACTCAAACGAGGACAGCTCACAATGAGCAGCAGCTAGCCTCATCCACGCACTGGGCTTCCCTGTGTGGAGATGGTAACCGTGTCCCCCACGCACTGGGCTTCCCTGTGTGGAGACGGTAACCGTGGCCACCACGCACTGGGCTTCCCTGTGTGGGAACAGACAGAACCATGGCCCCCACGCACTGGGCTTCCCTGTGTGGAGATGGTAACCGTGTCCCCCACGCACTGGGCTTCCCTGTGTGGAGATGGTAACCGTGTCCCCCACGCACTGGGCTTCCCTGTGTGGAGACAGTAACCGTGGCCACCACGCACTGGGCTTCCCTGTGTGGGAACAGACAGAACCATGGCCCCCACGCACTGGGCTTCCTTGTGTGGGAACGGACAGAACCATGGCCCCCACGCACTGGGCTTCCCTGTGTGGGAACGGACAGAACCGTGGCCCCCACACACTGGGCTTCCCTGTGTGGGAACGGACAGAACCATGGCCCCCACGCACTGGGCTTCCCTGTGTGGAGACGGACAGAACCGTGGCCCCCACACACTGGGCTTCCCTGTGTGGGAACGGACAGAACCATGGCCCCCACGCACTGGGCTTCCCTGTGTGGGAACGAACAGAACCATGGCCCCCACGCACTGGGCTTCCCTGTGTGGAGACGGACAGAACCGTGGCCCCCACACACTGGGCTTCCCTGTGTGGGAACAGACAGAACCATGGCCCCACTCTAAAGAACAGGCCCTCCCCAGGGGTGTGAACACTGTCTGAAAATATTCATGCTATGGTTCTTAAGGGCTAGAGCACAGGCATGCATGAGATCCTAGGTGTGCACACACACACAGTCACACAACACACAGACACAGGCACACACAGACAAGCAAGCACACATACACAGGTACACAGACATACAGGTACACATACTCACACACATAGTCATACACATGGGATATCATAGACATACAGACACAGGCATACTGGCACTCACATACATAGTCATAGGCACAAAGGCACACACACATGCATGCACACACATAGGCATGCACATGTGCATATTCAATTTATGTTGTGGGCAAAACCACAGTTCAGTTAACACAATATTTCAGTTATTTAAAACTGAGTGGGCATCTGAACTTGGTCCTGAATCTAGACTTTTTTTTCCCTGCCTACTCATAATGCAATGGCTTATAGAAACTTGCAAATTTGGTGAACAAATCAACCCAAAGTTTGTTGTTTTTTAATAATAAAACAAACAGGCAAAATCAGAACACGGGGGAAAAAAATCCCTGAACCCTACCAAATCCATAAGAAATGACATATAAACTGTAAAAACCTTTCTCAGCAGGGACAGCCATCAGTGACAGCAATGATTTCATAACTCTCATCACAAGAACAAACATTATCTTGAATAGTTAAATACATATGGACTAATTGAATATAAAAAGCAACTTTTTATCTATGTGTCTTTAAACACATAGAAGCATTAGCAATCGGCTCAAGGAGCACTTGCTCTGGACGGTGAGTGGTGGGGATGGGAAGTCCTCCACATGCACTGATGGGGATGTCACGGGGGACACGTGCCGTAAGAGGAAAACAAAGTACCTACATTTCAGCCCTGCACATGGGCAGTAAATAAAATCTCCATTCAAATGGTAACAAACTTGTAAAGAATTATTAACATACAGCAAATAATTCTAAAATGCAAATCTAATGACAATCGCCTGACGCATCTTCAGAGCTTACTGGCTCCAGCAGGGTAAGGGCGCACAGTGGGCACTTTACCTCGGATGTCTCCTCCAGCACAGAAGGCCTTCCCTCCAGCTCCCTTTATGATGATCAGGAACGTCTCAGGGTCTTGTTCCCACTTCTACACAAACATAAAAGATGATGGTGGCTTAAGTTCATGTAAGACACATTCACATCCATTTGTGTGCGCACATGGCCTTTCCTAAAAGACATCCAGAGGAATGGATTCTATCCACTTAATTTTCTTTCTAAGTGCAATCTGTGTTCCAGAAAGAGCTGTCAAAGCTTTAATACTAAGATGAATAAACAGGTGCCTAATGGCACTGTGTTATATACATTTATATACATTTGTCTAGTGAACACATCCACCCAAAGAGTGGGGGCATGAGGTGCAGGAATAACTTTTCCCCATAGCAAGATAGCACTGTTATACCAGAAAAATACTATTACACTGTTAAGTTATTTACAAAGTTTTTAAATATGTGGTGGATGGGGGTTTGGTGAGGTCAGGCAATAAACTGAGCACGATGAGATTGTGGGGAGCCGGTCAGTGACGCAGTGCTCGCTTTATAACCGCACTACGACAGATCACCGCTCTCATTTCCTCACAGCTGAGGAGAGTGGGGTGCAGACACTGACGTGCCCCGTCAGTTACAGAGTTTAATACTCAGAAATCCAAGTGGGGTGCAGAGACTGACGTGCCTCGTCAGTTACAGAGTTTAATACTCAGAAATCCAAGTGGGGTGCAGAGACTGACGTGCCTTGTCAGTTACAGAGTTTAATACCCAGAAATCCAAGTGGGGTGCAGAGACTGACGTGCCTCGTCAGTTACAGAGTTTAATACCCAGAAATCCAAGTGGGGAGCAGAGACTGACGTGCCTAGTCAGTTACAGAGTTTAATACTCAGAAATCCAAGTTTCAAATACGAGCCTGACTTTCAGCCCTACACTTTCTAATGTCGTGATGTGGGAGGTAATATATGCTGTGAATATGTCTTATTGACATTGGTTAATAAAGAAGCTGCTGGGAGCAATTTAGAATTGGCTCAGAGGTTAAGAGCATTGCCTGCTCTACCAAAGGTCCTGAGTTCAATTCTCAGCAACCACATGGTGGCTCACAACCATCCGTAATTGGCTTCTGGCCTGCAGTGTACATGCAAGTAGAATGTTGTGCACATAATAAATAAATAAGTCTTAAAAAAAAATAAAAAAATAAAGAAGCTGCTTTCAGCCAATGGTTTAACAGAATATAGCCAGGCTGTAAAAGATATACATTGAGAGAGCAGGCAGAGTCAGGGAGACACCATGTAGCTGCCGCCAGAGACAGATCCTGGAACCTTGCCAGCAGGCTACAACCTTGTGGTGATATACAAACTAATAGAGATGGGTTGATTTAAGATGTAAGAGCTAGCTAGAAATACGCATAAGCTATTGGCCAAACAGTACTGGAATTAATACAGATTTCTGTGTGATTACTTTGAGAGTCTGGGCAGTCGGGAAACAAACAAGTACCCTCTCTCAACAAATTTGCACCCAATGTGGGGCCACCAGAGGAGAAAGCTGTGAGTTGCCAGTTGGAACCTTGACAGTAGGCCACAGACCTCATGGTAGCTTGGTGCTGCCAGGAGCAGATGTGTCTCAATGTCATGAAAAGTCCTAAGTTCTTAAACATTTTAAATGTCATATTCTGTAGTCTTTGAAAGATCTGAAGAATACCTATCCTTCTGAAATACATCTCTGTACATCTAGAAAACCTAACTAATATGACTACAAGCTTGACTATTATAGATGACTCTCTATTAACCTATATTTCTTAATTATACATTACATTTTTAAATGAGCTACATAAACACAATACCTTAATCAAGACCAGAAATATACATATAACAGAATTAATCTAAAATCCAACCATTTTGTTTACCTGGCCCTTTTTTGTCTATTCTTTAGTCTCTTTGCCCATGTAGTAGGGCCCCAGAGGGTATAACAGGGAGATACCATATGGTGGGCAGACCAAAGAGCACACCAGGAATATGCCTATGTGGCATGGCATGCTCCAGGAGCCAGAGAGGTACCCCTGTTCTCTCTCCTCACATGGCCGGATGCAGGACCATGTTCACTCTGGACTCTCCTGGATGTCCCTGTCTCTGTCTATGCCCTCTCTTCTATCTACGCAAATCTTCTCCATCCAGATGCAGGACCATGTTCACTCTGGACTCTCCTGGATGTCCCTGTCTCTGTCTATGCCCTCTCTTCTATCTACGCAAACCTTCTCCATCCAGATGCAGGACCATGTTCACTCTGGACTCTCCTGGATGTCCCTGTCTCTGTCTATGCCCTCTCTTCTATCTACGCAAACCTTCTCCATCCAGATGCAGGACCATGTTCACTCTGGACTCTCCTGGATGTCCCTGTCTCTGTCTATGCCCTCTCTTCTGTCCACGCAAATCTTCTCCATCCAGATGCAGGACCATGTTCCCTCTGGACTCTCCTGGATGTCCTTGAGGTCTATGCTCTCTCTTCTATCTACAGCAAACCTTCTCCATCCGGATGCAGGACCATGTTCACTCTGGACTCTCCTGGATGTCCCTGTCTCTGTCTATGCCCTCTCTTCTATCTATGCAAACCTTCTCCATCATGCTGAGGAGCAGTCATGTCCTTCCTTGGTACTTCCTTTTTTCATTCATCTGGTGCCAAAACCCAGGACTGGCATATGTAAGTTCCCTTCCAAGGGACACAACCTCTCCAAACCAAGCTGATTTGACTCTCCTAAGGGGTGAATAGATCATCTGTTTCTGGTGGCTTCTGCCACCCACCATATTAGGCTTCAAATCTTAGAGTCTAAATTTTCAGTCATGTCTTCCCTCCATATACCTGTGGAGCCATCTCCTGCCTATGGTAAGTATACTCTCTCTAGATCCTAGAGCATGCAACACCCTACGGGATGCCTATCACATGGACATTTTCCTGCTATGTCCTCTGGGGCCTCACCACATGGGCTTTTCCTGCTATGTCCTCTAGGGGCCCCATCACATAGACAACCCCCTACTTACTAAGATGCTTACTCTTCTCCCTCTATTGGAATCCTCTCAAAGCTGAAGGTAACCCTCCCTATGGCAGAATTCCTTTTGCAACCCTTCCTCTTTTCCTTCTCAAACTCAGAAAATCTATAAAAACCTTTCTGTCTCACTGCAAAGGGCTTGGCCTCAGTACAGCTCCCTGGCTAAATACAGCACACTTGAGTTCCAAATTCTCACAAATTTTAGCAGCTTCTGCCAGCACAGGCAATGGTCCCAAAGTACCTCTTCTAAAGCTTTTAAACTTTCCATTCTTAAACCTTTTATTTCTACAATTTCTCTGTGCTCTGCTCTCCAGAAACCTTTCAAGACTATTGTGTAAACAGTCCTCATCTCAGGACTTGTAACTTCAATGGGTCTGGTTAAAGAATCTGAAAAATCTGTATCAAAAGTCAGCTTAAAGCTTGTAACAAAAAGTAGTTAAAAAAATCTATACATAGATAATCTTAATTTGATACAACACATTATTCAACTCTTGGGATACAACTCTTGTTTAGAAGAATAGATGTTTTTTAAATAGCAACCATGTGGCTCTCTTCCATCTTAGCTGATGACCTCATCGAGATTTGAAAGTTACCACGTGACTGGCAGCCATCTTTAATAAGGTTAAAGAGGGCAAGACATGTAACTTCACTATCTCAATATGACCATACGGCATAAAGCAGCGATTATGAAACTTCTTGTGCCTAAGGAACTCTCTGTTCATCATTATGTCTCCTTTTTGGACTAAGGAGACACAGCAGGTTCCGTAAATAATTTGGATTGGTACGGATTTTTGTATGATGATAAAATGTTAAGGTTATAAGGGTTTACTCAGATTAACAAAAGCTGACTTAGAGAGATATATCTAACTACTTATGTCTTTGCTAACTGTTCAACACAAGGTTTCTAGAAAATTTAAATAAGCAACAATATAAGTTTAATGAATGCTTGAGTTAAGGCTTCACCTCAGCTCCTGGCATCCATGCATCCAAAAAGTCTGGAATGTTTGAGTGGAACTTTCCATCCCAAGCCCCCTCCTCTGGGAGTTGCCTCAGTCCAGACTCCACCTTCCATAAAGTCTGCCAAAAGATGACCTCTCCCCCAAGAGGCTCACGACCACTCCCACAGGGTATTTAAACTGCCCCACTGGGGAATGAACATGTGGTTTTCCAGTCTTCCTTCCCATCTCCTCTCTGAGGACTGGAAGGCTACTCAGGGGCACTGGCATCCATTAAATCTGGGCTTTTTCTAATTCAGTTTGATTTGGATTATTGCTTTGGCGGAGAGGTCTATTGGAACATAAAAACTTTTCAGTAAATAAGCAGAAAAGTTCCCAGTGTCCCCATGGACTGATTTATGGTTTAAAGTTTTATTTTGATATTGTAATTTAGACAAAGCAGCGCACAAGAGAAAGACACCATGCAACAGAGCTCAGGTGGAAAGGGTTTTTAATTGCAGGAAAGTGAATGAGAAGAGGGGGAGGGGAGAAGGGAGACCATCTTCTGGGAACAGGAGTGGCAGAAGAGAAGAGAATGAGACAGACAGACAGGCAGGCAGAGACAGAGAGAAAGAGATGGGAAGTGAGCAGGGTCTTTTTAAAAGGGAACACAGTGAATGTGTACAGTGCTCTTAGTGCTACAAGTGAATACATAGTGCATGTGTACAGTGCTCTTAGTGGCTACAAGTCAGGTCAGTACAGATTATAAACAATGGGAATGCTAGTGTGTCTTTAAAAAAACGCTGTTTTCGAAAACTCAAAGAATTCTTGCAAGTTCCAGATAGTCAACTTGGAGGATTCACCTCAAACAGACAAGATCAGATGCACCCCTCCCTCAGTTACCAGGCCCTAAGCAGCTCAAGCCTCCCCGCTTCCTCTGGTCTTGATACCCTCCTTCCTCAAATACCACGACCTAAAGAAAAAAACAATTTTCCCCCCTACACTTAACCTTGTCCTCTGCTCTGCCGACATCTCTCCAGGTTCAAGAAGCATCAGAGAGTTCCACAGAGCCCGCATATTTTCCTGGATGATAACACTGATGCAAAAGGCTCTTCAGTTAAATCTTCAATTTCTCAAGTTCAAACTTAACAGGATAAAAATATAAAATCCTAGCCTTATAAAAGTTACCAATTTAAACTGCTAAAGATAATTAAGACATACAGGTTAATGCATTCCCAAAGTGAAATCTAAACTCAGGTATGCTTGATGGATACATAGTCTTCAAACTCTTCAGAGATAGGTTGGATATGGCATTTAAAACATTTAATGAAAAGGTTTCCCAGAGAAGACAGAAATGCCCCTCTTCTAGCAGGAACCTAAGGTCTCCAAAGAACAGAGATGGGCAGAGACGCCACCTGAATTATGGTAGCCCTAAACAGTTGGCAACACTGCCCCGTGCCTCGCCTGCTGTCCAGGCTCTGCCCAAGCTGCGGCCCTGTGGGCTGACTGCGCTACTCTGCCTGTAAGGCCTGGTCATGGTAAGGCCAGTCCCCGGAGTTTCTCCACAGGAACACCACAGACCTGAGTCTGGTAGTCCACGGCCAAGGCTGCTCTGTGTGGCAGCAGACGATTAAATGCTGTCCCATACGACAGTCAAATACATATAACCACTGACTGCCCTCAGTGAAGCCACTGAGACCACGGGAGCCTAGGGCAACTGTCTGGGGAGTGGGTCTCTATCACTTTCATTGACAGATAAGCAATTGGGGTTATACCTCTGCTATAACTTACCCTTTCCAGATCTCTAATAATATTGTGCTTTAACAGCAACAAGCACCCCAGCTCTCCCCAAGACTTCAGCTGCCTTCTCATTTCTTTGGCCCTTGCAGTCCTGGCCAACATTCCAGCTTTCCTGAGTTCCCAACAAGGATGCCCCAGTGTCAGGAAGCAGTCATGAAAAAGATCACACTGTCCCTTACCATAATCTATTATCAGCAAAAGGGCTGGGATGTTAGGTCTCAAACCCAGGCCTATTTACTGTATCCAAGTGGACCTGGCACCAGGTTCGCCTAGCATCCCTCAGTCCCTTCCTATTAAGGGGTATGGCTGGCGCATCCCACTCTCTACACTAAACTTCTGCAGACCAGAAGCCAGGCTGCCCTCGACCCAGCTTCTGCATGTAGTCCAGTCATTTTGGTTGCCTGGGTCTTTTCTGTCTACCCTTTACTCTCCTGGTTCTCCCCTCCCCGCGTTCCTCACATGGCCCAACTCAGGGTCATGCTCACTCTGGGCTCTCCGAGATGTCCCTGACTCTGGCTATGATCTCTCTTTTATTTACAGTAACCCTTCTCCTGCACCACACCATGGAGCTAATGCCCTGAGCAGTCAGCATCACTGCTTAAGTGAAGAGTGGACCATGAGAAACAAGACCTACGGGAAGCAGAAAGCATGTGTCCTAAAGACAGCGAGTGGGGTGGGCAGGTTCTACAGGAACGCATCAGTGTGCTGCTGAGTCCTAGGACAAAATACCAGGCGTGTCCCCTACCGGATACTTCAGAAGGATCTCCAGGGGCTTTCCGTTATTACAGACCTTCAGCTGTGGGTAGATCTGCCGGATCATGTTCATAGACAGGGCGTTGAGGACCTTGGGTCTGTTCAGTGTTATGACTCCTGCACAGCCCCTCCTCTCCAACAGCACTTCCGGGGCTTCTGTGTGCACGGACATCCTCTGAGTGAATGAAGAACACCGTCAGGAAGTTTTATCAATGCCCACAACAAAACACACACCACATGCACACCTTTCAAATGATAACCACAGAAGTGGTGACCAGGGACACCTAGCATCCCCAGCCTACACAGACATAGCAATCCCAAAGCAAGCCATGCACACCTCCCGGATGTTCAGTTCTGCATGTCTACATGGACTGGATCAACTCATCTAAAACATGGCCTCTTCCTAGAGCCCCTCGGACTAGGAAGTACCCCAAAACCTTGTAGCTTGTTACCACATTTCAAATTCTACACCAGGCACTTAGAAAACGTGGACAGCACATGACTCTCATTATAGTAGCTGTGAGCAACTTGGAAAAGGCAGCATCTGGGCAGGGCTGTGGTGTCCACGAGGCAAATGGAGGTGAGAACTCCAGGTACAACGATGGCCTGGACCAGCCATAAACAATGAACATCTGGACATGCCACGATGCTAGCCCTCAGTGCAACTGCGTGTTCTGCGTTGGAAAGACGCCGTGCAAGCATCGGCAGGGTCTCCTGCAAGGACTACTATGTCACTACCTGTGTGACTGCAGCCCCGACACGGCTGTCTTCTGTCCAAAGGCTGTCAGTCAGAATCAGAGTAGACTAGCACACTGCTTCTCTAGGCGCAGTCAGCACCACGTTTAGAAAGGGCAGCGCCACTAAAAGTGGCGGGGTACGATAAGAAACATGGAAATAGAGTCATGCAAAGAGAATGAGAAAGACATAAGAAGAAAAGGCCGTGATTCCTCCTAGGTAAGATGCAGGGGTGAACTTAGTCGGAGACAGTGATATCTGGGAGAGTCCAGAGTGGACGTGACCAGACTGAACTGGGCCGTGTGGGGAGACAGGGACAGGAAGGGAGAGGAGAACCAGGTACAAGAACCAGGAGACCAGAGGTTCAAAAGGGGCTGGAAACCAAAATGCCTGGATTGTACAGGGAAGAGCCTCTGGGGGAAGGGCAGCTCAGGCCCTGGCCTGGAGAGTCTGGGATAGAGGCAGGGAATGCCACCACACCCTGTAACAGGGAGGACTCAGGGGTGCTGGGAGAAACCCGTGTAAAATTATGTTACATATTTAATTCTCATGAAAATTCATTACCACATAATAACCAAAAAAATGATATGTACTTAGAAGAGTTTTAAGACAACCTATTGAGGGGCTGGAGAGATGGCTCAGTGGTTAAGAACACTGGCTGTTCTTCCAGAGGTCCTGAGTTCAAATTCCAGCAACCATAGGGTGGCTCACAAACACCTGTAATGAGATCTGGCGCCCTCTTCTGGCCTTCAGGCAGAACAACACTTTGGAAAAAAAAAAGAAAGCTTATTGAATGAAGCTGGGTGGTGGTGTCGCACACCTTTAATCCTAGCACTGCAGAGGTAGGTAGATCTCTGAGTCCTATGCCAGTCTGGTCTGCAAAGCAAGTTCTAGGACAGCCAGGGCTATGCTGTCCAGAGCCAAGGAAAACAACCACTTTTCTACAGGTTCTTAGCATCCACGTTCAGATCAGACTGCATCCAGAAGAGCTTTTACCACAAGCTAACAAAAGCTCTTACTGCAGAGGCTCTAGAACTGCACCTGAGGGCTCCAGGCTCCCTTCTTAGGCTGCAGTGAGGATTAGTTGAGCTAGTACATGTATGACGTACTTAGCGCAGCTCCTGCACATGGATCTATAGCAGGTGCTCATTCCTACTAAGGCATTCATCAGATTCAACAGGAGATACAATAAAAATCCTGAATAAAAAGGATTTTTCTGTAATCTGATAAACAACAAATGTTTAGCTTCACAAGGTACAATTAGCATAACTGCTAAGGCATTAACATTTATTATTAGCAATAACTGCTAAAGTATGAAGTTATTATTTATACATTATATACCGTATCAGTGTTCTCTAAGATTTTTAAATTTTATTCTATGTGTATGGGTGCTTTGACAGCATGTATGTCTATGTCCCAAATGCTCACAGTGCCTACAGATGCCAGAAGAGGGCATAAGATCTCCTGGAACTGGAGTTACATACTGTTGATAGCCACCGTGGAACTGAGCCCCAGTCCTCTGCAAGAATAGTCAGTATCTTAACCACTGCCGAGCTATTTCTCCAGCCCGCACGCTAAGTCTTAAAATGTAATACCTTTTTAACATTTTTGAATCACTGTATGGTAAAGACTATCCTCATTTTATACACACACACACATATATAAAAGAAAGCAACAATAAACTAAGATTAAGTTGCAGACAGTCAGATTTAACCATACTCATTAAAACAGCCTTAAAACACAGAGTGTGCAGGAGGTGGCATGTCTCATCATGGGAGCTTGACGGCAGTGGTTAGGAAGCCAAGGAAACCGGCCATCCCAGGCCTGCCTACTTCCCTAACAGAGACACTTTTAAGTTCTATCATAAACAGCAAAGCACAGTACAAACTTACCAGATGCTGCAGAACAACCCTGGCTCTTCTGAGGGAGCTGAACCTGAAAGAGACGCAGACTGCAATGAGTCCAGCAACACAGGCAACTGTGTCTTGATGCACAAACACCGGAAGGCCTTAACTGTGTTGGGACAGAACCTTGAAAACAGACTGAACAGCCATGAAATGACGCCCATCTCAAAGGGCTTCGGCAGCACCCTCTTCCCAGGTGTTCAGTGAACTTTCATATGTGTGTATATACATATATACAGATATATGATGTATATATCATATACAGCCACCTACTTACAGGACACCAAAGAAACTGAAGTAGCTCCACTAACGTGGAACCTGGGGAACCCTGATTTTACTGGGGTTACTTACAGAGCACGTACGAGGAGGGGTGCGGGTGAATGTAGAGCAGCCGCACCACTAGACTGTCCTGTCCCAACATGGATGTTAGCTCGCTCATAGCTACGTAGATGGAGTCCCTGCTTCCGTTAACCGTCCATGATCTGTACCCTCTGCCTTCCAAGACCACAAGGGCATGCGCAAACAGGACAGTTACACACAGAAGGCGGGGAGGTACAAGAAGGAAATTTGGAATTTCAGTGAGGGTCTACTAAGTCTCCCCAAACTCTAAGGAGAACTAACCGCGTCAACAAGTCTGAGCTCAGCTTGTGTGTGTGTGTGGTGTGTTGTGTGTGTGTATATGCAGTGTGCATGTGTGTATATGTGGTATATGTGTGTACACACGTGTGTGTTGTGTGTATATGCAGTGTGCATGTGTGTTGTGTATGTATATGTGGTGTATGTGTGTTGTGTGTATATGCGGTGTGCACATGTGTGTGGTGTGTGTGTATATATGTGGTGTATGTGTGGTCTGTGTGTCTGTGTGGCGTCTGTGTGTATGTGCGCGCATGTGTCTTTTGTAAGCAGTCCTAGCTGTGATGAAGATGGCTGTTATGCTTGAGAACGGCTCTCTACAACACTGTATGATCGAGCAATCCTACTCTTTGAGTTTGACTAAATGAGCCAGAAGCTTACATCTACAAGAAAACCTACAAACCTGAATGTGTATTTTATATTAGCTGCATCTACAGATGCAAAATACAGGCATAACCAAGATATCCTTAAGTAAATCCATACAGGAATGGAAGCCATAAAAAGAAATGAGCTACCAACTCTAAGCATCCCACACACAGAAGGATGGAACTGAAATAATGTGTGCTCCTAAGAAGTAAATCTGAGAAAATACCGCGAGCTTTCAAGTGTAGGACATTTTGGGAATGGCAGTTCTGAAGCACACAGAACAATAAACAGCTGTCAGAGATTTTTTGGGGGGGGGAAGAGAAATGGAGAGCGGAGACACGTTCAATCTAATCTGAAAACACTGCACACGCCATCAGATTAAACTAATCTGTAAACACTGCACACGTCATCAGATTAAACCAATCTGTAAACACTGCACAAGTCATCAGATTAAACTACTCTGTAAACACTGCACAAGTCATCAGATTAAACCAATCTGTAAACACTGCACACGTCATCAGATTAAACCAATCTGTAAACACTGCACACATCATCAGATTAAACTAATCTGTAAACACTGCACACGCCATCAGATTAAACCAATCTGTAAGCACTGCACACGCCTTTAGATTAAAAATTTTGAACGAAACTTCAGTTTAACTTTTGGAAAATCTCAAAACATTCCACAAACAAAAATCTGTAAAATTTTAAATTACATTTTGTTAATTGTGTAAAGAATGTGGAATCTGTCACTATTTTAATTTGGTAAGGATGAAACACAATACGCAAGTCTGAGAGAGCCCTGGGAGAGGCCTACGTTGCTCTGGCCTCCTAAACAAGCAATCAGGATGGACAGACCTATATCCTGCAGCAGTTTAGGGAGACAAGGGTTACCTAGCTCACAGGTCACACATCATCCTGAGGTCACCAGAGCAGGGACTGGAGCAGAGGGCACAGAGGAACACTCATTCTCGGCTGGCTGCTCCTGGCTTGCTCAGTTTGCTTTCTTCTACACCCCAGAACTACATGCCAGGGGTGACGCTGCTCACACAGACTGGCGCTCATACACAAGCAAGAAAATGCCCCACAGGCTTGGCTACAGGCCAATCTAACCGAGGCGTCTCCTCAGCTGAGGTTCCCTCTTCTCAGCTGACTGTGGGTTCGACGATGGTGGCACATGCATATGATATGGTTCCTAGGAAGAGGAGGCAGGAGACCACTGAGCATCTCTTGCTCTTGGGAAACTCACAAGGTGGTGACCGAACATCAGAAAAGGGCATCGCTAGAATACCCTGTGATGGGTGCTTCTTCTCGAAGACATCAAACTTAAGATACAGAGAAAAACCAAAGCAGGAATCGGCAGGCACAGCCTTAACAAGGCCCAGGCCATCTGCAGATGTGCACGCTGTCTGGTGGAACTAAGAGCTGCCAGGGGTTAATGCTTTTCAGTGACAGACAGCACGCAAAACGAATAACCGAGACAAAAAAGGAAATAAAGAAAATCTAGGACCATCACTGCTACCACTTACGAATATGTGAAACTGTTGTATATGAATAACTGAAATCCAAGTGACTTTCTAGAAGTTATATTATTTTTCTTTTAAATTATGCTCAAATTGACAATACAACCAAAGAAAGAAATCATGTATTTTGTTTGAATAAGACACGATTTACATTTCTGACCTAGCATATTTTAAATTTGCTTCACTACAGCGAAGCCTTCTGCTCCCAGCCCAGTGTCCCGCCACGTGTCTGTACATCAGAGTCTTCTGAAGACCCTGTGGATCACTATCCTAAAACTCTGGCGGCAACTGCCCAGTTCAGTACTGACTAGAGGTGAGGCACAGGCGTGGGTACTTTGTTCGACAAAATGACCACTACAAAGTGCAAGCAACTTGTCCTTCAAATAAAACACTATAAAAAATAGCCAGAAGTGACAGTGACAGGTAATTCAGGAGGATTTTCCAGAAAGGGTTTTCATGCAGGCTTTGTGCCCATGCTGAGGCCAGAGGTCAAGGCTGAGTGTCAACTGCTTCAAGGCCTGATTTCAAGTTCAAGTTTATCTTTTTAGGACTCCCTCTCACTGAACCTGCTAGACCAGACTTTCCAGCAAGCCCAGGGCTCCTGCCTCCGCCTCCCAGCACTGGCATTTGAGTGTGGCATGCTTGCACAAGTACTTCACCCAACTAATCTGTCCCCCAACCCCTCACACAGTCTCTTAAATCTGTAACACCCGATTTAAACACTCAAACAGCCGATTTCTAAGAAACAATTTAAAAAGTCTACTTGACTCAATTTTGTCTTTTCAGTATCGAAAGGCTCACAAGAGACAAACACGCATACTCAGAACCGTTGCCTTATTTCCCAGCACATCGAACTGGGGAGAGAAGAATTCTTTCGGTCAAACCACAGAGGCTCTGAAGTCCTTAATAAGGCCAGCGCCCAGTCAAGGCTGCAGAGGGTGCCGCCAGTCTGGCAGATCTAAGTAATGGTTTAAGTACTGCCTGAGCAGAAGAGGACATGAGAAACGCAGGCTTAACTTCAAGTCCCCATTTAATCTATGAAACAGTTCTGCCAGAATCAAGAAGCTGACCCACAGTGACCACACCCACAGGCAAAGCACCGCGTAAGGCACCTGCAGTCACAAAGACCCCGTACCAGTGGCAAGGAGAGTAAAGAAGAGTTAAGTGTAACTAACTTCTCCACCATTTCTATACATTCACATTGTTTCCATTTAGGGCCAACTAACCTATGACTTAAAATCCGATACTGGGGCTGGAGATGTAGTCTGTGATACAGCATTTAGTTCAATCACTAGTACTACAAAAATATAAAACATGGTACTTGAGAATTCAGTATCCAATTTATCCCAAGCCTTTTTTTCTTTGGGGGGAGGGGGGTGTTCAACACAGGGTTCTCTGAGTAATAGTCCTAGCTGGCCTCGAATTTACAGCTATTCTCCTGCCTCTGTCTCAGGAGTGCTGGAATGAAAGGTGTGTACCACCACCTGGCATCTTAGCTTTCTTTTTTTAATGGCTCCAAGACTGCCATCTGGTGGATAGGAGGGGTACACACATCTCTCTAGCAACGCAGCCCTGGTTCAGTTACCACCAACACTATGTAATCCTTGCAGAGAATGTGAAATGCTGGAAACCTGGCTCAAAGGGCAAAGTATTTGCTTCATCAAAGACCACAGAAGAAACTGAAGGACACAGAAATCTCCCTGGTGATTACAAGACATCCGAAGGTGGAAAAACAACTATGGTAGCCGTAACCCACGTCTTTAGGCCCAGCACCGGGGAGGCAAAGCAGCTGGATCTCTGTGAGTTCCAGGCAAGCCTGGTGACAGCGAGTTACAGAGAGTTACAGACCAGCGGTGGATACACAGTGAGACACTGTCTTAAAACAAATACATGAACAAACAAGCAAACAATAATGGAACACCATCATTTTAGGATGATACAAGCTTCAGAAACATTGTTGCAATCATCCAGTCAAGCAAATACAAGCTTACGAAATCACACAACTCTACAAGGAACTGCTCAAGCAAGAAAATGTGATTAAAAAAAGAAAAAAGGCTCAGAGACTCAGATTGCACTGGCAGCTGCCAGGGTTAAGTAGAGCCGAAAAGTCAAGCGAGTTACTCGGGTGATTAACTCAGGGGTGAAGCGACAGAAAACAGGGACACGGTGCACTGAGCGGACGTCTGGAAAAGGGGATGGCTGCAAGCAAGAACAGGAAGGGAAATACTGGTCCTGAGACACTTAAAGGGTACTAACTGCTTTACAGGATGAAATACGAATTTGGTTTTTAGGTTGCGTTTGCTGTGACGGAAAGTAGAAACTTTCAACAACAAATGAAGAAACGACCCTGAAGCCTACAAGAAAAGCCAGGACTGAAGACACATGGGGGGGGGGGGGGTCCCAGAGCAACCACAGAGGCTCTAGAACCTCCACCTGTCTGCAAGAAATAAATACAAACACTGCAGCGCACAGGTTAGTCTGCAAGTGTGTTTTGTTATTCTGTTCCTGGTTAGTCAACAGCTATTTTAAAAATCACAAACATTTTTTTTAAATGTTCATTCACCTTTTCCAGAAAATAAAACACAATTTTTAAAAGGCAGCCTGCTCATGGGAATAGCAGGCCTACACTCTATTAACCCTATCAGTGCCAGAGGTGAGAAGCTGCCTGTGAACCCGAGAGCCTTCTCCCTCGCCCAATAGCGCCCTGCTGGTCCTATTGCTGTCATCGGTGACCGTCACTGAGTGCTTATGCTTGGTCTCTGACTGGGTTTGTATCTCCTGGCACAGAGAACAAAAGGATAATAGGCCTCAAAGACTGCACACCTTGGTCCATCTAGCATTGAAGAAAGGAGGGGCCAGCAAACAGGAGCCAAACGAAGCAGTTAAGCAGAGGACAGCAGCGGTCTCCTGATGGTTACCCTCCTCTAGTTGAAGGTGGCTTTACACTATCCCACTTTTTTCTTGAAAACACTTAGCAAGGTCAGTAAATAAATACACTTTGTCTTAAGTATTTACTAAAGGGCTGGTAAGAGTACCTGGTACACACTGCCCACCGGATAACCAGTGCCCAGAACAATAACTCTGAGCAGCCACAAAAGACTATTTTCGTCAGAAAGTAAACTGAGATCCAAATCCTGGAGATCCAAGCTAGTAAAGTTTTCTTTTATTTAATCCCACGTCCAGGAAGGTACTCCTGAGAGCTTCGAAGCAGACAAAAGGCAGGCTCTGGAGTAAAATCCAATAGTCTACATCTAGCCGTCACACAAAGAACTTTCTCTAGCTGGAAGTCATAAGCCCACCAAGTTTCCGCAAAAGGAACAAGTGCTAAACCCAGGGTGTTGTATAAACTGGAGTCTGCAAGAAGAAATAAGGTTGGTGGGAAAATAGCGAACTCCGCCCTATCAAAGAGATGCCTGGATGTTACAGTCCTTCTTACAGCTGCGTCCTTCACAAAAGCAAAAACAAACAACAAATGGAACTAGGGAGCCAGCAACAGCTCAGAGAAAGGAAAATGTGGCGCTGTGGCACGTGGACACAAGAGAATTGTACAGCAGGACAGAGAACCCACTCCGTGACACTTGCAGGACCTGGAAGTCACTGTGTCTTAGGGTTTCTACTGCCGTGATGAAGCGCCATGACCGAAAGCAACTTGGGGAACGGGAGGTTTATTTGGCTTACACTTCCGTATGCCTGTTCATCACTGAAGGATGTCCGGGTAGGAACTCAAACTGGGCAGGAATCTAATGGCAAGCAAGAGCTGATGCAGGGGCATGGAGGAGTGCTGGTGCCATCTATGCTTGTTCCTCATGGCTCATTCAGCCTGCTTTTTTGTCACACCCAGGGCCACCAGACCAGGAAGGGCACCACCAACATGGGCTGGACCCCGCCCCATACATCACTAATTAAGAAAATGCCCTCCAGGATTACCGACTGCCCCATCTTACGGAGGCATTTTCTCAACTGAGGCTCCGCCCTCTTCTGGGGTGACGACAGTTGACATAAAAACTAGCCAGCATATTGTGTCAGGCAAAGTGTCCCAGACTCAGCAAATACTGCATGTTTTCTCTCATATATGGATATGTGTGTGTGTGTGTGTGTGTGTGTGTGTAGTAGATTATAAAACTAAAATCAGGGCCATGGGGACAGACAGGTGGCAATGAAAGAACAAAATGGCATGAAAGCAGGAGAGCTGGAGGGAGTGAGGTAGGGAGACAGGCGGCCAGGGGAGGAGGGCAGGGAGAGGAGCAACAAAAACAGTGTTCCGAACGGTCCCATGAATGTCGTACTCATCACTTAGCCTGCTGATGCACACACACAAACAAAAAACTAGCGACAAAGACCCTTCGGAAATCTAGTGCACACACAATTGCATACATGAGCAGTGCAATCGAGGCATGCAGCCTAGGGCTCAGAGTGAATCGGGTTATACAATATGTTGGAGACTTGTCTCCAAAGAAGTGATGTGGGGGCAAAGAACACCGCCCAAGAGCCAAATTGGCCCGCGCAGTGGAAAAGCGGTGGCAGGAACAGCCAATAGTCCGCAGGGGCAAAGTGAGGCCGAAGTCCAATGGCATCAGCCAATCGCATCAACAGAGCCACACAAGCCCTTTTCCTTCCAGACAGACAGGTTCTCAGAGCCCCGCACCTAGTCAGTTGAGCGAGCGCAGGCATGCATGCGTGCGTGAGTGCGTGCGTGCGTGGCAGGCAAGCTCACCTAGGTAATGACAGAATCTTTCAACTTGAAGTTAACTTTGTTAATACACGTGTCTTTGCAACATGGTTCCCAAGAAATTTAGAATTTGCTGTCATCAAGAAAGCACCAACAACGAATACAGGCTCAGGTGTTAGTATTTATCACACAAGACAGAAAAAAAAGAGAAGCAAGGCAACTCTTTGGTGTGTAAGAGATAACTTGAGAATCGCATCACTGGATACATTTTTAGGCGCTTTCCCTGAAACAGCACTAGTTTTAAGATTTATTTTTAATTACATGTATATTTGTGTGTGCCCATGTGATAAAAGGTGTCCCATGAGAAGAGACTGTCAGATTCCTTGGCGCTGGCGTTACAGGTAGTTAGGAGCCACACAGGGGACAGAACCCCAATCCTCTGAGCCTGCCCGTCAAGGGCAGGGCAGGCTCTTAAACCGCTGAATTGTCTCTCTAGTGGAACCGGTAACTATTCATTTAGACCAAAGAAACATTCCCATCTCCCTGCAGGAACGTGACAAAACATGAGGCATGAGGGACTTGCAGCGGAACAAAGGTGAGTTCCACTGTCCAGGCGCTCCTATACCGCACAGATAGCTAACAGTAAACATCTCGGCCACCCGCCCCCCAAAATGACTTCTGCGAAGGAGTTCACGGGGACAGTTAAAGCTTTTGGGTATGGTACCGGGGGCAAAGCATTGCACGCGGCAGAACTCCTAGGATGAGTGCTACCACAGTTCTGCATAGTGCATAGCTGGGGTTGCAGTGAGAGGCACCTTTACAAAGTTAGTATTTGGCCGAGCAGTGGTGGTGCACGCCTTTAATCGGGGGGGGGGGGGGGGGAGCAGAGGCAGGCAATCTCTGTGAGTTCGAGTCCAGCCTGGTCTACAGAGCGAGTTCCAGGGCAGGCCTCCAAGCTACAGAGAAACCCTCTCCCGGAAAGCAAAACAAAACGAAAAGTTGATGTTTGGACGCGTGCTCCTGCCAAACGCATTATAGGGCGACGACGCTCTTCTGCTGATTCCCAACACCCGCGCTGCCGCTGCAGCTGGCTGCACAGCTGCTAATCAAGCTCCTCTATCTAACGGAATCCCAGGCGCTCAACAGTCACACCTGTGTGACACACAGTAAATTAGGTGGCACGTCCCCAAACTGCACCCGGCTCCAAGAAAGAAAATAAGTAGGAGTCGGGGGGGGGGGGGGGGAGTCGTGCGAGGTCACGGCTGACGGAAAATGAAGGTGTTTTTGCAAAGAAGGCGCTAGAAAGAGCAAAGTCGGGGGGGGGGGGGCGGGCACCTGCGGCGGCGGACGGCGCGGGCCGGCGGGAAGGGCGCCCGGTCGGCGAGGCCTGCCGTGGACACCGGCAAGGCGAGCCGCCCCTCAGCCGGGGCTCGCTCGCTGACTCACCTCGACAGGAGCCGCCACACATCCTGCTGCCCCATGGCCTAAAAACGCAGAGCCGAAGCAGACGGCGGCGGCGGCGGCGGCGGCGGCGACAGCGGACTGCACGGCGGACCCGCCCACCGCCGACCGGAACCCACGAGAGCCGCGGGCACCGACGACGAGTCCTCCGGACGGGCCAGAGCGGCTCACGGCTCGCGTTTCCGCCGCGCTACGCTGATGGGCGGGGCCCCGGGCGCGGATGGGGCGGGGTCTGGCTAGGGGGCGGGGACTAGAGTGGAAGGGGGTGCAGGGGAGGAGCCAAAGCGAAGGCGGAGAGAGCTGAGCTACTCAGTAGCCGGAGCACGGAGAAAAGCTCGCGTTGGAGTCTGAAAGGGTAAACGACTTGGCTCCCGAGAGGCCGTCTTGGGAAATGCCCAGTCCGTCACCCAAGTTTGGCCAAGCAGCAGAGATTGATCTGAAGGAGTTTTGTGGTGTTTTAATAATTTGAAAATGAAAAGGTAAATTCAAACCGGATCTGATGGTGCCCTCCTGTGATCCCAGCACTCAGAAAGCTGAGTTAGGGGAACGGTCGCCAGTTGCAAGCCACCCTGGACTATGTAGCCAGACCCTAGTTCAGAAAAAAAAAAAAAAAAAGTAACTTTAGTGTTCTTTGAGAATCAAACGGATGAAGTGCATTTGATGTCAAGGAGAGAGCTTGGTGTCCTTTTAGAGCTCGCTCTGTGTTGCTGAACTTGCTTTCAAACATATTTCTCATTATCTTCGGAAAAGTTCGATACCTCGCTCTTCCCCTGGCGGACGAAAATATCCGATTAAGAGACTGTGCTCACCAACTAAACTAGAAATCGCTTTTATCAGAGAAAGCATAACTGCACCAGAACGCAGCTCATGAAATAAAACGCATATTTAACTGCCCATCACTGTTGAGTCGCCTCTAGAACCACCCACACACCCAGATGTCTAGCTGTAAGCATTTCATTGAGTACTGACATATTAATAAGATCTGAGGAAATCAGAGAAGAGTTCAGAGAGCAGGAAGTTAAAGGTGGTAGGTGTGTGTGTTGGAGATGGACACTGAGGCCTCCACAAGTACTCATCCACTGTACCTTAGCCTTAAAGAGGTCATTCTTTATCTTTGGCACTTAGGAGACATACAATATGATATTTAATCAGAAATTATCTTTCTGGCCTGGGTCGATAATACCCAGAGTACGCAGAAAGCCAACAGGCACCATAAAAGCAGAAGACATCAGACACCGGGAATTCCTGACCTGTGATTAGTCCTCAAAGGTACAAACAATCACCATTTGACTTCACCATCAATCAGCATCATGTCCCTTTCATTGCGGGAAAGAATGAATGTGTTAGCCTATCCAGCGAGCACTACTGGAAGGAGGCGCTTGTCTGCTCTGGCCAGAGCCAAATCATCCTTCCTGGCTCCCTGCAAACAGGCCTGTGCCTAACAGTCTCCATGTGTAGAAGGCCCTATTTTGATTTAATGCTCTGCCAAAGCGTTAAACTTCTATTTCCTTCATTATTTGTTCTGTGCACCTATACACATCCAAGTTCAATAGCGTCTATCGAGAAGCCAGAGGACAGCTTGCAGGAATTGGTTCTCTCCTTCCACTGTGTGGATCTCAGGGATGGAACTCGTGTTCTCAGAACACATTTTGAACAAATGACCCTCCGTTTCCACTTTATACATTGAGAAATCAGTCCTGCCCTCACTCTCCACTTTATAATATTTCCACGGTTTCATAAGGAGATCGTATCTTGCTTTCTCATGCTCTGATAGACCACGACCAAAAGCAACTTGGGGAGGAAAGGGTTTATCTCAGCTTACAGTTTATATATAGTTCCTGCCCTGACTTCGGGGGAAGCAGAAGCCACAGGGGAACTCTGCTTGGTGGCACAAATGCCTACAAGGGGCACATAGTGTAATCATTAATCAGTGGACATTTGCAATTAGTTTCTTTCATTGCCCCCCCCCATGGTATTTTTCAAGGTCCATTCACATTGTGGCATGTGTTAGTACTTCTCTCCCTCTTACTGAATAACACTTTTACTTTGGGGGGGATTGTCTGTGAGAGGGAGGAGGGAGGGGCAGAGAATGAGAGAGGAGAGAGGGAGATGTTTCCAACTTGCTGGGTAGTTTAGGAGAACCTTGAACTCCCGTTCTTCCTGTTTTGCTTTCCTAGTTCAGGAGATTACAAATACGGCCATGCCTGGGCTAAGAAATGCTGGACACTCCACCAAGGGTCTCATGAATGCCAGGCAGACATTCAACCAACTGAGCTTCGCCTCCCGAGATCTCTACGTGAAGCTTTTCTGTTCTGTTTTGTTTTGAATTCTTCATCAGTTGGCGGATATTGTCTCCACTTTGGGCTGATAAGAACGGTGATGCCACGAACTCTGGTGTGTGGCAGCGGCTGCGGCTGCGGCAGCGAGGAATGAACCACAGGTCTCAACAAACCCACGTGGAAGTTTATTAGGCAACCGGGGGGCGGGCACTGTGCCGGTCACCTGAGAGGAGAAAGTGATGAGAAAGAACGGGAGGGCGGAGCTTACTTAAAAGGGAAAGCTTATGCATGTGTACAGAGCCTTATACAGCCACTCAACGCATGACACAGCCATGCAACGCATGAAGTAGTGACATAGGGTCGAAGGGCCCCTGGGCTAGCTAGGTGTTTGCCTGACGGTGGGCTGCCAGGGGCGGGGTCAGTATAATGCTGGAATCCTAACATTTCCCACCTTTTTTTATTTTTTAAAGATGAGGAATTAAAGAGGGTGCCAGGTAGGGCAGGGAAACGGGGCACTGACTTCTCAAGACTGCTACCAGCTGACTTGGGGGGCGGCAGCGATCATCTTTGGGGAACCTGAGAAAGCTGGGGTGTGGTAGCTGGTCCTTTCACTGCTGTCCCAGGCTATGTGGCGCCGTCCCATGTTTCTTAGATCTGGCGAGACGCTGTCAGAACAGAAGATAAAGTTAAATTTAGGAAGAAAAAAAAATTCTTAGGTTCTAGCAATTGAGGGAGGTGGGTAACTGACCTGTTTGAAGTGAGTCCAAGTCGACTTTTAGCTTTTAGCTTCTTACAAGCAAACCTTAAAGCACCCCTTCCTTCCCCATCTTCACGATGTCACCTTAACACTCAGGAGAGACGGGTGGTTGATTCCTGAGGGTACCCGGGCGTGCTTGATGGTCTTTGCGCGACCAGTTCCGTGGCTAACGGCTGGGAGTCCTGTAACCACAGCTAGTGGGTTTGATTAGGAGTTTGGGATAAGTCATTGGTGATACATAGAGAGGAGGGTGTAATTAGTAGAAACAGGAGAATGTGGATCAGCCTGGGGGGGGGGCAGGAAGAGGTGTCAGGAAGGAAAGCCTATGGGGCTCCAATCCAGCAGAGGAGGTTGTGGGGTGAAGCCTCATTCTTCTGATATTGGAGACACCAATTTCAGTTGCTCTCAGTGTCCTCTGAAGCTGAAAGGAACAGGGTCCTGTTGGAGTCGCTGTGTAGGAAGGAGGATTACCTTGAGGTGGAGGGGTAAAGAGTTTGAGACCAGATAAGTGTATCCAGTGAGGAAGGTCCTCAAATTTAGCAGCTGTTGGAGTTATGAGAATTACTTGGAAGCGGCTCTGCCGCTTAGTAGAAAGGGGTGAGGGGCATTGATCTGGAGGAGAGAGAAGGCCTCGATTTCCAATGCTGACTGGAGATGGACAAAGGCTGATACACGGTCGAGGTAGGATGTAGTCAGAAAAGTTCCATAGGAGGGAGCAAAGGGGGTAAAGTAAGGGTGTAAGCAGGTGATCCGGGAGAGGTGAGGGTTTAGGTGAGAGACCAGGGGATAGCACTGGCCAGCCATACATAAGTTCAAAGGGCGAGATGGGAAGGGGACATTTGGGGAGAGCCCAGAGCCTGAGAAGATCCCGAGGCAAGGGTTTTACTCAGTCAAGGTAAAGTTCTTGTGACATTTTAACGAGAATGTTTTTTGTTTTGTTTTTTGTTTTTAAAGGAGCAGTTAGTTCATTCTACCTTTCCTGAGGACTGGGGTTGGTATGAGATACGAAAATGCCAAGGATTCGACAGGGCTTGAGAGACCTGAGAGGAGAACTCTCGGGACCATCGTCTGACTGAAGAGAGATTGGAATTCCAAATTGGGGGATAATTTTCTGGAGAAGGACCTCAGAGACTGTCTGAGCCCTCAGGTTAGAGGTCAGAGATGCTTCTGTCCACCCTGCGGACGTTTCCGCCGTGAAATTAACAGGAGATATTTGACTTGTAAAACTGGGGGCATGTGAGTAACATTAAGTTGCCAGTCAGTCCCTGGGAGAGAGCCCCTGGCCTGGTAGGTACAAAAAGGGAGGTTTTGTTACCTGGAAATAGGGTCTGACAACTGACAGGATTTACAAGAGGCAGATATTCCTGGGCTACTCTATGGGTGCACAGAGAGAGAGAGAGACAGAGACAGAGACAGAGAGACAGAGAGAGACAGAGACAGAGAGAGAGAGAGAGAGGCTTATTCTTAGTTATGAATGCCTGGCCTTACCTTGGCTTGTTTCTTGCCTGCTTTTCTTAAATTATCCCATCTACTTTTCCCCTCTGGGCTTTTATCATTCTTACTTCTGTATATCTTCTTACCCCGTGGCTGACTGAGTGACTGGGTGGCTGGGTGGCTGGCCCTGATGTCCTCTTCTCCCTGTTCTCTTGCTCCTCGTTCTCTCTCCTCCCAGATTTCTCCTTCTGTTTAGACTCTGCCTGCTGGCCCTGCCCATCCTTGCTCCTGCCTTGCTTTTGGCCGCTCATCAATTTATTGGGACCTTTGGGAGTTTTAGACAGGCACAGTAACACCGCTTCACAGAGGGACACACATGCAGCGTAAACAAAAGTCACACACCTGAAAATAATCTGCCCCAACAGGCCAATGCTAAGACTTCTGTCTGTAGGCTTCAATATATGAGACTATGAGGTTGAAAGATATATTGTAAATTAGAATTCTTTTATGAAAGCGGTAGAGTTAGAGGTTTAAGATCCCAGGTGTTTTTTTTTTCTCTTTGACAGAGTTCTCCTAGTAAGAAAGGGACATGAACTTCAGCCAGCCCGTCCACACCAGCTACCTCTTGCCAAGGTGATGTGGGAGCGTCATATCAATCTGTTGATTTCATTGGTTAAGTAATAAA